GCGATGCTCCAAGGGTGGAGTCTTATACTCCTCGAGGTTGTGCCCCTAATAATCGAGCACATGGCTCGTGTTAAACTTTTCAAGAGTGATACTCCAAGGGTGGAGTTTTATACCCCTCGGGGTCATGCCCCTAACGACCAAGCGCATGACTCATGTTAAACTTTTCAAGGGCAATGCTCCAAAGGTGGAGTCTTATACCCCCAGGGTCATGCTCTTAACGACCGAGTGCATCATGTTCAACTTTTTGAGGACGATGCTCTAGCGGTGGAGTCTTACATCCCTCTGGGCCGTGTCCCTAACGACCGAGCGCATGACTCGTGTTCAATTTTCACCGAAAACCAGAGCTTAGGATTCAGCTTAGTAGTAATATCTCTTCAAATTTGATACATTTCAAGGTCGACTTACATCATTGCCATCCATATCCCATAGTCTATATGCACCTGTGTCCCCCACAACAATTACTTCATAAGGCCCTCCCCAATTGGGGTCAAGTTTCCCATCAGTGGGATCCCGAGTAGTACCCACTACTTTGCATAACACCAAGTCTCCTACTTGGAAATTTCTCGTTCAGACCTTCTTTTGGTGTTGTCTTGACAGTTCTCCTTGGTACTTTGACAACCTGATGGATGTCAGTTCTCTTTTCTTTTCAGCCAAATTAAGATCTTTCGCAAGCATTTGATCGTTGTTTCCTAACTCAAAGACTTGACTTTGTATTGTTGGGAACCTTACTTCCAGTGGGATGACAGTCTCGACCCCATATATCATGGTATACGACATTTCTCTTGTGGAAGTCTTCGGCGTGGTCCTATAGGTCCATAACACATTGAGTAACTCCTCGGTCCAGTTATTCTTTGCCTTTTTCAATCTCTTTTTGATTCTGGCCAGCACTATCTTATTTGGATCTCTGTTTGTCCATTATTTTGCGGGCGTGGAATAACAATTGCTTATTCCAAATTTTGAACAAAACTCCCTAAAATGACCATTGCTGAATTGAGTGTCGTTGTCCGAGATGATGGCCCGAGGGATTTCAAACCCAGTGATGATGTTTTGCTATACAAGTTTCTTTGTTTCGATATCCCGAATGTGGCTCAGGGGCTCGGCTTCGACCCACTTTGTAAAATAATTAGTGGCTACTAGTAGAAATTTTGTTTAAAGGGGCCCTTGGGAGAGGTCCCACAATATCCAACCCCCACTGAGAGAACGGCCAAAGACTCGTCAATAAGTTTATATCTCTTGTTGGTTGTTAGATGATGGGAGCGGATTTCTAACACTTATCACATTTTCGAACGTACCTCTTAGCATCCTTCTATATGTACGACCACCAATACCCCTGAGACATTGCTCGGTGTGCGAGAGATCTCCCTCCAGTAGGAGTCCCACATACAGCCTCATGAATTTCATAAAGCAAAGGTTCTATGTTTTCCTCGGGGATACAGAGCAAATTCGGCCCCAAGAAGGATCTCCTATAAAATTGATGATCAGCAGATATCCAGAACCTGGGAGTTTTGAGTTTGATCTTCCTTACTTTTTTGATGTCCTCGGGGAGTGCTCTTTCCATCAAATATGTGACTATGAGATCCATCCATCTCAAAGGCACTCTTTGCATTTGCGTCGGCAACACTTGCTCGGCCTTCGTTTATTCTATACTCGAGCTCTCCTGGTTTTCAATGACAATGTGCCAAATTACCTCCGAGGCCAATGTCGAGGCTAGAGAGGCTAACGCGTCAACATGGGTATTGTGATCTCTTGAAATTTGGGATACTTCCACTTTCTCTAACTTCTCAATTTTGGATTTTGCCTTCTAATGGTATGCATTCATCTTGCTGTCTCGAACCTCGAAATTGCCATTAATCTGATTCACTACCAGCTGTGAGTTGCAGAAAACATGGAGGTGCCTAATCCCGATCGAGTATGCGATATCGAGTCCTGCCAACAGCGCCTTGTACTCAACATAATTATTGGATGCTTTGAACCCCAACCTGATAGCTCGCTCTATTATGAATCCACTAAAACTGGCTAGTACTACACCTATCACTACCCCCTTGCGCTCGAGAACCCATCAACATGAAGGTTCAAAACATCATCATCAAAAGCTATCACCACTTGTGGGGGCTCGAACGTAGAGAACTCGACAATAAAATCGGCAAGGATCTGCCCTTTAATTGAAGTACGGGATTTGTACCTTATTTCGAACTCCCCGAGTTCCACTACCCACTTGACAACCCTTCCTGACATGTTAATTTTATGAAGAATGGACTTGAGAGGTCGATCAATTAAGACTTCTATAGAGTGCACCTGAAAATAGTATCTGAGTTTCCTTGCTGAAACTACCAACACCAAAATAAGCTTTTCCATAGGCAGGTATCGCGCTTCGACATCAAGCAAGGTCTTACTTACGAAGTAGATGGGCCTTCAATCTTGCTGCTTACTACTTCGCCAACTGCCACTTCCTGATTGCCCGAAATCATCGAGCCGATCCTGAACCTTGGCATTATCCTTCTCAAGTTGCTTAATGCGGTTTCCCATCCGCTTTTCCACGAATTTAATGATTTCACGAGTCAAAAGGCATTGCCCCCGAAGCCTTGATCCACGAGAAAAGTTTGTTGTTAGGCATGTTCGCCTTCTTTTGACTGGCTCAAGGAGCTTGATTCTGTGACCGCTGGGAGCCAAGTAGAATCTGCATTCCTCACGCGTAAGCTTTCCCCCATCACCTCGAGATCGTATGTTCACCATGATACAATTGCTATTGGAAAAGTTTGATTTTTTCCCACAGAAGGCGTCGGATTGCATGGGAGAATTCCTGCAATAAATACGGATAGCAATCCTCTCAATGATGGACCTAAAACAACCACAAGGTTAGAAAAAAAGAGTCGGATGAACACCCAGTTTATCCCCTCTGAAGCTTATGTCAGTAAAAGTTTGGAAGCTTTAGCACAATGTTTCTTTTTTCTCAATTTTATTTTTATACTTTTGTTCATTTTTCTGAGAAGTATTTATATTTGGATTAGTAATGAGTGTAAAGACTTGGAGTGTCATAGAAACATTTAATGATTTGTACTCTTATCCATGCGTAATGAGTGTTCTCCACTCAGATTCTCGAGGTTGGTTCTCCTCAAGTGATAGGCTGACTGCTCAGGGCATGCCAAGCATTTATGACCCTAACCCCGGTCATTCAAGTATATCTGATCAGTGGTTGACCCCTACTCCCGAATGTTCAATGCTTGGGGAACAGTACCTCAGGGTACACCGAGGAGATATGCTTGGCACAATAGCTATTAATGCTTTGTAATCATGACTGTCAGTTTGGGTCTTGAAGATTCAGTAACTCATTAATTACCCTATCACAGTCACTCATGTCTTCATTCATGAGCTATCAAATCTTCTTAAATGTTGGTGTCAATACGTGTACTCGGCTCCTCCGAGCCATTATTCCTCGACGCCACCTCTTGGCGCTTTTTGAGTTCCATAATGACTACATCTTTACAAGTGCCGATCTGGGGGCTGCTGAACCGCCTAAATTCTCGTCAGTTACTCTGCATGCATGGATAAAATTGTGTACGTCTGATAATTTTCAGACGTAGGCCTAGTAATTCTAGATACGATTTGTGAAACCGACATGAACCCAACATAGATTTAGCGCGTCTGGGTGTAGTCTTAATGAGTTCGAGTGGTTAACGGGTTAACTCGACAGACCCGTAAAATAAATGAAACGGTTTCGTGTTTAACTCATAAACTCTTTTTAACCCGTATAAGCCGTTAACAGTGGTATTTAGTAGTCATTCAATGTTAATTTTTTGTCTTTATTTTTTTTTGCTCAGCCATAATTTATTGTTATAACAAACAGGTCAAACATGTATAATGTGTAGCGAGTTAATGATTTTTTGTGTGGACTCGAAATACTCTAACATATTCTCTTATTTAACAGATGACTCATGAATTATATTTGGTAATCCATCTAATAAACGATTCATGTATGATTATGATAATTAGTCTCGTTTATACAAATGAGATATGGATACTTTGTGAACACTTTGTTTTCTTGAGGTTAAAAGTTCAAATCTTCATCCCCTGTCCAAAAAAAAAATAGATATGAATAGAGATTTTTTTAACATAAACCCGTTCCACTCGACACAATTGTCAGGCCTACTCATACCTCACAATAACAACAAAAATTTTGTGTAGTGGTTCGCAATATTTGTATAAAAAGAAGGGCAACAGAACAGATCCAGAAGAAATCTCTTTGGTCACAGTCGCAGGGCATTGTAGCAGTGGGCTTTCCTTTTGGATCAAAGCAGAAAACAGAGGGAAAACTGTGGGAGGGAACAGAATCCCCAAAGCCTTGTCTTTTGCTTCGATGCGAAGTGAAACATCCGAAAATGTTCTTGGCCATGGCAAAGAACTCCGCGTAATGACGAAATTACAAACATCATTTCTTGTCTAAGAGAAAAGCAAGCACATGTCCCCGACGTCATTGGAACAAAAGCAACCAATTTATGCATGTCATTCAACATCTCAAGCGACTGGTGAACTTGCTAGACTCATCAAGCCATTGTATAGTGTCATAGTATCGTTGACTGATTCAAAAAAATTTGAGATATATCGATCCTGATATCACGGCGCAGTATTAAACGATATGTTTTAAAAAAAATGTTGATTATGACGTGAAATTCAAGTTATAATTATAACATCGCAGAACCATGATCAATCGATTAAATGACGATAACTCAACGATTTTAAATTAAGTCAAATACAATTCAAATTACTCAACTGAGGCGAGACTTGAGATTTATATAATAACATCCTCTCAAAAGACACCAAGTTAGATAGTAGTCAAAACTTTGTTCATTGTAACAATCACTCACTCCCAAATTGTTATGACCAATTAACAAATGTTATTTAAGGGTTAAAATATAGTACCAATTAAGAAATGCCATTTAAAAAAAATTCATCTTCTTCTATTATTAAATATTATTTTATTAATTTCTTTTATATAAAGGAAATAACAAAAAATTAACTTCTTTTTATATAAAGGAAATAACAAAAAATTAACAACATGAAGTCCTAAAATTTTGTTTCCTTAAAGCAATGCGATATTCATGTACTTCTGAACAACACGCTTTTCAGTAAAAAATTAAATAAATAAGAATTGGATAATATCCATAGCCCCTAGTCAACAACCCGGTCAATGATGGCTGCGCTCATGATCATCTATATTCACATATCTCCACGTGTACAATACAAAGACAATAGTCGATCGATGAGTGCGACGTGGCAAAAACCCACTTCTCCATCTAGACTGACAGTTGGCAAAAATGTCTGACTTTTTTGACACTTTCATCGTTCTAACACGCCGTCGCGTGACTTTTCTGTCAAGTTAAATACTTTCTCCGAGTTAGCTTTTGAGTCAACTCGCTACTCCCCGCTCTATATCCAACTCAGTCCCCACCGACGACCCACCAGAGCTCGACCCGGTATCGGATCCTCTTCTATTCATACTGATAATTCTCTTCAGAGAGAACAAACGAGCACCAGGCGATTTGAACCCCTGACTCGCTGGTGAACTCAGTCCCAACTCGTCCCCTGACTGATTTCTTCTTGGCACCTCTATCGTCACACCCACCATGTCCTTAACCTTCCTCCGAGACTCCATTGAAGTAGAAGCGCTCTGTTCCTCTTCCTCCTCGTGTGGACAGGCAAGGCATAACACAGAACTTGAACCCGGTTCAGTCTCACCCACTGAAACCACTACATCGGACCGGTTGTTTTCGGCGGCCTGAACCGGTTCAATCAGTGACCGGCAAATTGGGCAAGTGGAGTGAGCGTGAAACCACATGTCAATACAATCTACATGAAAAGAATGGTTACATTTAGGTAAAAGACGACCTTTCTCATTCTCTTCGAATTCCGATAAGCACACGGCGCATTCTAGCGTTTCCGGGTGGGTCTTGGGGGAGTAGATGAACTCTGGAAGTAAGTTCAGGACCGAAGGTTCAAGGCCGCGAGTGGCGGTGGAATTGGGATTGTCGACGTAAAAGACGAGGTGGGCGCGGCGGCGGGCGCGGCTGCGGCTGCGGCGTCGGCGGAGAAGGACTTGTCTCCTTTGAGCGCGGAGGAGGTACCACCGAGCGTAGAGATGGAGGACTACCATGACGACCACAACGACGAATAAGATGATTATTGCGCTTAGCATGATTTTGCCACTCAGTGCGTAGCTCTTTGGTGGGTTTTCCAATGGGTCATGGGGGCCGCCATTGACAGTAATGTCCCCCATGTGTGTGTGTGTGTGTGTGTGAGAGAGAGAGAGAGAGAGAGAGAGAAATGGGGTGTGGATGGCTTGACGGAGTGTTGAAGCAGAGGGTGGCTTTATATTATATTTGGGTAGGGGGAGGAGCGAGAAAAGGAGAGGAAGGTTCTTGATGGTTTCAGTGGTGTTCTCCGAGATGCTTACATGTTGTTGAAGTGTGTAAGAGGCGCCGTGGTTGACGCGGGATTCTTTGAAATGACGAAATTGGCCTTCTATTATGAGCAAAGGAGTTAGAATATATTACGATGAAATACTATAATATATCCCAAATTTGTAATTTAAATTTGCATCAAATGAAGAAAAATCATTAGAAAAGTGGATTCTATCAACTTTTTTAAATAAGATCACTCATCCAATGGTCATCCTTAATTTATGATGCAAATTTGGGTTAAAGATTGAGGATACATAACATTGCTCTATTACGAAACGTTATGAAAGACGATAGAAGCAAAACATGATGTGAAATTATAAAATTTAAATTTTTTTTAAGTCATTTATTTTGTAAATAAGTAGATTTGATGTAATACAATTAAAAATTAAATTGAATATGAATGAAGTCAATTAAAAAAATATACGATATAACTCGTATACACATTAATTATATACAAATCATCCAATACGACTCGTATACACATTAATTATGTACAAGTCATTTGCGACACGAATTTAATATATCATGATTTATTAAATATAAATCAATAATGAATTAAGTATAAATAATAATTTTTTTAATATGAATCTATTAAAATTCAACATAAACCCAACTTCACACGAGTAAGATGGCTAGTTATGAGTCTACAAAGCCAGTAGACTCGTTTAAGTTTGGTGGGTTTGTTGATGAGGAGACTCGTTAAGTTTGGTGGAGTTGTTGGCTCCTAATAGCCTTTGCCAATAATTGAAGCATCCAAAATGCTCGTCAACAGTATTAAGTGTACCATCTCCTCCCCCCAAAAAAAAAAAAAAAAAAAATTCTCTCTCTCTCTCTCTTTCTTGATGGTAGATTTTTTTTTTGGTAAGTACTCTTGGTGGTAGAGTTGTTATACCTGTTTTGATAGAAACTGAGGTTTTGCTTGGACTTTGGACTGTTTAGTCAAAGGATTTGTGAGCCCAAATGAAATTTACGGCTCCTTCAGCTGGGCTTGTTATTGATATGGTGGGCTTGTTATTTATATGGAGAACTCTTCTCCATATGGACCCTTGGAGATTGCTTCCAATAGCCAATTTGATTTCACCAACCAATTTGAAAGATTACAAAATAAGAGTAGTGACCCTCATTTAATTCATTATTATAGTAGTTATTAGATGTAATGATTATAAAACAAGTACCTGAAGCTAATGGAGTGTTGGATTGATCTATTTTAGACCGTTAGAAAAGTTTATTAAAATATATCTTATTTTATATTATAAATTATTAGAGTAGTGGGGTTGTCAAACATCAAACAAAATATAGATGTGATTATATTAATCTAAAAAAGTGTCTTGAAGTAGATCCGAATTATAAGGATGTGGTTCTAACAATAATATAGTAGTATACTATACTAGCATTAATAATCTTGGACCCAAAATAAAGTAAAGGATCCATCCAATGTGTGCTCCACCTTACTTCATGCGTGGGATACTAAATGCCATTTAAAATTGGGGTGCGTACCATTGCGAGTCCAATTAAAATTCGCGAGTGCATTTACTAGACTTCCCAAATACCAACGGCCATTCCCACCTTGAGCCCCCAATGAGCTACTTGCATTGAACACCCCCCTCTCTCTCTCCTCTTCCCTTCTTCAAAAAGTGAAAAACTATAGCCTCTATCTCACCTTCTCCTTGACTTAGAAACACTCTGAGAAGACCAAAAACAACCCAAATCTTCAAGCAACTCATCAAGTAGAAAAAGAGTTCAAAGACACAAACTATGTCAAACAAGTCCCCAATATTCCCAATGCCTGAGCCTCATCACTTCAGTGACTATGGCTTTGACCCTCAAATCGATTATTTTCAGGTACTCTCTCTCTCTCACACACACACACTGTCACTCATATATTAGCTTTCTCACTTTAGATTGTGTATATGACAAGGTTTTGGAAGAAGCAAGGAAGCACAAGAGAGAGGCATCAAGATCCATAGATACAATACACTTCAAGCTGCAAAAACCCACCTCGAGAGACGAGTCGTCCAAGAAGATCAAGAAACGTTGGTGGAAGAACGCTCTGCTCTTCTTTAAGCTGAAGCGGACCCACCATGACAACAAACCCAGCTCTGGTTTCAACAACAATGGGGTTCACTGTGGACGCTCCATCAGAGGATCAATCTCAGGCCCTATGTACGTCACTGAGAGCAGAAGTGGGTCAAGCACACCTTACCGTACTACTAGCCGGCCATCATCCGGCCCACTCGCCGGAACTCTGACTCCGGCGACGAAGGGGGAGGTGGAGATTCCGTACATCAACCTCAGGGAACTCAACATGGACCAGCAACAACTACATCACCGGATCTCCACCTCGGCCATGCCTATCTATTTGGTCACGTGATATACTCATTTTAGTTTGAAGCTTTTTCAGTTGGGTTTGTTGGTTTGATTCTTTTTTCTTTGTTTTTTTTTTTTTGGGTGGTTTTGTGGCCACTTTTCTGCACAAAAGGTGCTTTAATGGCTTTTGTGAGGAAGAAATTTGATGGTTCCTCCTTTTCCTTGTGTGGGTCACTCACTTATATATATATTGATTTCTGCAACTAATGAAACAAACAATTGTTTGACTGTGTCAGTTACCCACCATGACCTTTTCTTTTTCTTTTCTTTACGTTTCTTTTCTGTTCTGTTGTGTTTTCCCAGGAAAGTGATGGGTTTTTTTTGGTCAAAATGCGCGCATATTTGCAGAGTTTATCAGTCAGATCCGTTATTTTATATCCATTTGCTTCCGTTTGTCGCCATTGATACGGCGTGCATCTAAATTTAGTGACCGTTATGGGCTTTGTGGGGCAGCAAGATTTTCCGGGTCCACATTCTAATTAATAAAAAATATGTATGTAATCAAGGCATGAAGTTAATTATACAAACTCTAAAACATGTATGTGGGAGGAAAATTTTGTACTTTAATAATGATGAAATCGATGATGATTGATTTAGATATCAAAAAACATTAAACTATAGAAGTTTTTTCAATCGAAGACACTATAATGTTTCGGTCGATAAAAAAACTTTGAAGTTAAACAAACAACTAAAGATAAAGAAATAATACACCAGGATAGATGGTCACCATCCTAGAGAACGGATAATGATCGTAGGTGCAACGGTCTTAATCGGATATAACAGAGATGAGTTGTAAATTTAAATATCGTGAATTTAAATCTTTATAATTTCTTATAGTTAGTTCATAAATAATTTATCCCTTATGAATACTTTAGTTTTGATGTAGATGATCTATTTTTGATCAAATCGAATAGGATATTAATTGAGGTACTCGTAAAATAATTAAAAAAAAAAAAAAAAAGTGCGTAGTTTTAAAATTAAATTGATCCAATATTTATGGGAGTGCACTTCACTGAACAATTTGGCAACCAGACACTGCCATCAGTGGTGAAACTCAGAAATGTCATTGTCCAAGCGCAAAGCTACAAAATAGCAAGCGGCTGCATTAATCGTAAAGTGGTACGACACCCAAAAAAAATGCCGGAAAATCTAATTTGAGAATTTAAATATAAATTTAATTAAATATAATTATTAAATTAATTATGAATTCTATCATTATATGAAAGTCACCATTGATCCTATATATAAATTGAATTAAGTATTTAAATTATATCCTAACTTAAGTTTAAATAACATTTTCTCGTATGGATAGTCCACTACAAAATTACATTTAGAGTTTATTACAAACATGAATCATAAATTATTCCATTTATGTCCATTAAGACTCTTAACATTATTTTTTTGTCAATATAACCCCTCAACTATGCAATCAACAACACGACAGTAACCTTGAACTTCCATCACTCCTAAGAATAATCGCCACCTAAATTAACCTAAGTCATATATTTATTATTTTTCAGTACCCTATATCTCATTTTCTCTCTAGTATTGAGGGGCAACCCCAAATGTATTTACGGTATCCTTCTAAAGTTGTTTCGGTCTTGCACATGTCCAAGCAAAACCCACGTATCAGGTCCAAACTAAGCTGTTGGAATTTTTGAAATTATAATAGGTCTAAACTGTAATACTTATGAATATTTTTTTTTGAAAATTGATATTTCAAATTCATTTACAATGAAATGAAAAAATTATCCTTTTTATTAGTTAAGTCTTTTTTGTTTTCGTACATGATAATAATAAGATTTAGGGTATGGGCCGCGATAGTCAAGGGCCCAATAAATTTAGAAAGCCTCTATTAGCACAGTGATCCAAATGGATCACAACAGCTTGTCCACGACAAGAATAAAATATATCATGCCCAAAAGGTAAAGCCCAGCAGTACCAGAAGACTTGAAGACTAACCCAGCCTGAATCCAACTCAACCAAAAATCAGCTCGGGTCAAAGGAGTTCAACCCAATACATATCTAGGAATTTTCCATTGCGCCACATGTCCCGAGAACAGAGGAATCACTTCTAACACCCATAAAAAATACTCACTCTCTATCACAGAGAATATTGGTGCGTGGAACCACTCAAGATCTGTGGGTGTAGTAACATCATGTGACAGAGATCGCTATAAGACAAAAGTAGAAGGGCCCACAACATCAACAGAAAGGAAGCAGGACGTCCAAGAAACCCTAGAAGAATCACTTCTATAAATAGGACACCATTACACTACAGTAAAAAGGGGACCATCTTCCTCGCTACATTCTAAGCCATTTACACAGAAAAGTTTGAGTTATCTGAGCATCTTCTTGTAAAGGCCCTGAGCCAACAATACCTTTATAATCACCTATTTCGAATAATACACAACCCCCAAGAGCAAAAGACTCTCTTACTGTGGACGTAGCCTTAGTCTTTTGTTTAAGGTTAACCTCACTCTAACGGCATCATATTTACCTCTGCATTACTCTACATGTTCCCTAGGCTAACTGGCCTCAGTTCTAGACTTAGGCTAAACTATTTCCGAGCACCACCAGTACACTTTAAAATACACCATAACTTAAAATTTAACACTATATGTTATTGGCCAAGAATAAACAAGAAAATGGACAATTAAAATTGTTGAGAATTGCATACACATTGTGGAAGCATAGGACCAAATACATACCTTGTTCGCTTAAATCCTAAAAATCCTTTGAGGATATTCCACGTACTTTATAATCCAAATTAACGTCTTTTCTATAATTGCTCGAACAATATAGTGTTGTTACATAAGACAAATCATTAGATTTTTCACAGCACAAAAACCTTACAAATGTTATGTAGGGAGAGAGTAGAAAGTTTTAACGTTAGATAAATTATCAGAAGGTATCTCATATATTGGATTGTCTTGGGTTTATATAGGCAACCAATGAGTGTCTTTTAAGAGACACATTCTATAGGGACATGTCTCTTAATATTTAATAAACATGTATTTTAGGTGGTAAAGAATATCTCCAAAAGATATGCCTCTTTGGGCATTCTTTAATTTGGGTCAACCCATCATAGGCGCCCCGATTCGAATCCATAACCCAATCAATATCGAACAAAAATAATACTAAGAGAAATGAAAATGAAAAAGGAACTTAATATCCAATGGCATTCGATTCGAGAATGTCCCTCAATTTATTTAAAAAAAAAACTACATGTCATCCCACAATTATGGAGATAAATATTGGCAAAAAAATATTTTTCTTTCATACCCAAAACTATTTTTTTTTGGTAAATAAAACTCTTTCTTTCATACTACTACCATGAATCTTAAATTATTCTATTTATGTCAATTAAGTCTCTGAACATTATTTTTTTGTCAATATAATTCTTCAACTATACAATCAGCCTCAATAAGACTTTTTTGTCCAATTTGTCATTAATTTTAACGAAATGTCTCACATGATGTACATATGTATGATTTTAACTATCCCTAATATTTGACTCGTATGATGTGTAGATACCAAATGATTAATTAAGTTAGAGCAATTCATATTCATCTCACTCAATCGCTGTCCAAACCTTAATGCAAATAAAGCACACTCACAGAAAAAAAACGACTAGATGAATAAATAATGCGTAACCTATTTGAACGATAAAACTATATAAATAATACGACACTTTAATTACTCATTGAATTACTCATGTGCGTTATACATGAATAAATTTGAGTAGCAAATTTATTTTATTTGTTTGTTTTGGTATGGATTTCACAATTAATATCTTTTAAGGTGAGTTCTGTGCTATTTGCTAGTCAAAATAACATCAAAAAGATTTGGAAAAATTAAGTGACAAAAGTACGAAGTTTATGACGCATACATTTCTAATAGAAAAATGTAATATGTGACTCTTACAAGGTTTCTCTGTTTAAAAAAAAAAGAGAGAGAGACTCTTGTATGGGGTTAACTTGAGGTAAAATGTAAGACATAGAGGCACTAGGAATAACTCGTGCCTAAAAATATTTTATAATATAAAAAAATTAAATATTGATTATACAATATTTATATTTTAAAGTAAACATAGAGAAAATAAGAAAGAAGAGAAAGATATGTGTGAATTTATGAAGTTATTTGTCATTAGAAAGTAGTTTGACATTGGGTCCGTGTAAAAAAATGATTAACATAATTCATATATTTATCATTTTTCAGGACCCTATGTCTCATTTTTCTCTAGTATTGAGGGGCAACCCCGAATGGATTTATTGTATCTGTATCCTTCTAAAGTAGTTTCGGTTAGGTCTATTAATTTTCGACTCGACATGTTAACACGACACTAATCGAATATGAAATTAATGGGTCGAACACAAAATTAAACGAGTTAATGGGTTAAAATGAGTCAACACGCTTAACCACGAAAAAAATTATGTCGGATTCATGTCAAAATAAGATCAACTTGATTTTGAACTGATTAATCCGTATATTTTAAACAGGTTGACAAGATTCGGACACGAGCCCGTTTAACCCATTTATGGCAGTATAGTTTGTCTATTATGTATGACTGATGTGATCTTAACTTTATTATTTATTAGTTTTTGCTTATACTATGATAATTGACAATATAGTTCTTAACATTATTATGACAGTATACTAGTATAGTTCTTGCTTTAATTTTTTAGTTGAAACTTAAATGCATTTTAATTAATTTTACTCATGAGATGTGTAAAAAAAATTATTTTAAATTTTGGATTAATGATTGAATGATTTATTTAATGGTAATGAACTGGTGTGAAAATATGTTATGTGTGTTAAATAAGTTTGTTTTATCTGTGTTAAACAAGTTAAACATGTCATGTTATGTGTGTTAACCCCAAAACGATCTGTTTATTAAATGTGTCAAATAAATCGAGTTCGGGTAATCCGTTTAATGACCAGCTCAGGTTAGTATTTATACATTTCAACACGATTATTAAAAATATCATATTTGAGTTTTGAAATTTTTGACACCAACTTGAAATCAATCCAATATAAAATGATCCAACCCGACATGGTTGACATCCTTAGTGTCAGTCTTACCCATGTTCAAGCAAACCACATGTATCAGGTCCAAACTAAGTTGTTGGAATTTTTGAAATTATAATAGGTCTAAATTATAATACCTTTGAATTTTTTTTTTTTTGAAAATTGATATTACAAAATCATTGACAATGAAATGAAAAAATTATCCTTTTGATTGGTTAAGTCTTTTTTTGTTTTCGTACATGATAATGATAGGATTTTAGGTATGAGCCGCCATAATCAAGGGCCCAATAAGTCTAGAAGACCTCTACTAGCACAGTGGCCCAAATGGATCGGAGCAACTTGTCCCCGGTAAGAGTAGGATAGTCCGCACCCAAAGGGTAAAGTCCAACAATACCAGAAGGCTTGAAGACCAGCTCAAACCCAATCCAACTCAACTGGAGGTCAGCTTGGGTTAGAGGAGCTCGGCCCAATGCCTATCCTGGAATTCCCTGTTGTGCCACGTGTCCCAATAGCGGAAGGATCACTTTTGACATCCATAACGAACACGCACTCTCTGCCACAGAGAATATTGGTGTGCGTAACCACTCAAGGACTGTGTGTGCAGTGGCATCATGTGACAAAGATCACTACAAGACAAAAGTAGAAGAGCCCACAACATCAACAGAAAAGAAGCAGGACGTCTAGAAAACCCTAGAAGAATCACTTGTATAAATAGGACACCATTACACTATAGTAAAAATGGGATCGTCTTTCTCGCAACACTCTAAGCCATCTACATGGAAAAGTTTGAGTTATCTTATCATCTTCTTGTAAGGGTCCTGAGCCAGCAACACCTTTGTAATTACCTATTTCGAGTAATACACAACCCCCAAGAGCAAGAGACTCTCTTACAGTGGACGTAACCTTAGTCTTTCGGCTAAGGTGAACCACTCATATTATTTTCTAATTTTCCTCATACGGCCTCATCCATTTCTAGCCTTAGCATTTACTCTACATCTTCCCTGGGCCAACTAGCCTCAGTTCTGGACTTGGGCTAAACTATTTTCGAGCACCATCAATACACTTTAAAATACATCATACCTTAAAATTTAATACTATTTGTTATTAGCCAAGAATAAACAAAAAAATGGACAATTGAAATTGTTGGGAATCGTATACATATTGCAGAAGCATAGAACCAAATACATACCTTATTCGCTTTAATCTTAAAAATCGTTTGAGGATGCTCCACATACTTTAAAATCCAAATCAACATCTTTTCTATAATTGATGTAACAATATGGTGTTGTTATATAAGATAAATCAACACCAGATTTTTTACAGCACAAAAGCCTTACAAATGTTATGTAGGGAGAAAGAAGAGAGTTTTAACGTTAGATGAATTATCATAAGGTATCTCATCTATTGAATTATCTTAGGTTTATATAGGCAAGCAATAAGTATCATTAAAAGATACATTTTATAGAGACATGTCTATTAATATTTAACAGACACGTATTTTAGATGATAAAGGATATCTCTAAAAGACATGCTCATTTGAGCATTTTTTAATTTGGGTCAACCCATCATGGGTGTCCTAGTTTAGATTCATGATCCAACCAATATCTAACAAAAATAATACTAAGAGAAATAAAAATGAAAAAGGAGCTTAATATCCAATGGCATTCGATTAGAGAATGTCCTTCTCAATTTATTTATAAAAAAAACTATATGTCATCCCACAATTATGGAGATAAATATTGGCATAAAAATATTTTTCTTTCATACCCAATGCTTTTTTTTTTTTTGGTAAATAAAACTCCTTCTTTCATACTTCAAAAATAATTTAACAATATAATTTAAAATTTTAATAATTATGATCATAAAAATTATCAATGAATCCAAGCAAAAAGTGTACTATTAATTCAATATTATAATTCATTAAATTTTAGCTAAATTTTATCGACACTCCCTCGAGATTGGCATAATTTCAAAAACACCCCTCTTAGTTTTTGAAATGTTACTCTCATCCCTATCATAAAAATTGATGAAATTAGTATTAGCATGATGAAATTAATATTTGAATTAATGAAATTAAATATCAATTGATTAATAAAATTAAAGAGTCAACTTAAAGGTAAAATTAATAGTTTGCTATAATATATTTCATAACATTACCGATTCTGTTAGATGTCAATAACACTAATGAATGTAGGAATATTACATAAAACTCATGATAAACTATAAAAGGTATGCAGTGATATTTCAAAAACTATAAGGTGTTCTTGCAATTAAGCCAATCTCAAGGGAGTATCAATAGAATTTAGCCTTAAATTTTTAACTATATCCCAATAATATTATTGCAATTCAAAACATCGTATTGTTTGGATATAAAAAAAATTGATTTAGTTCTTCCTCAACAAAAAAAATCCTCTGAAACATCTTAGTGTTTTTTGCTTAAGATTGTCTTGTCCCTGCCTTCAACAGCTTCTTGTACACCAGTTCCAGTTCTTCTCAAAATTGATCATCTTCCCCATTGCCACTGGCACCGTTACTCATTCCCGCCCTGCGATTAGATTCGATTTTTCTGAATCCATGCGATCGGACAATCCAATCCCTCTCTTTGTCGTACATCAAAGCCAATTTTCACTCATTTTCCAGGGAAACAAACAAAGTTCTCCATGGGATCGGGCAATCCAATCCCTCTCTTTGTCATACATCGAATCCAATTTTCACTCATTTTCCAGGAAAACAAACAAAGTTCTCTATGCGTTCGGACAATCCAATCTCTCACTTTGTCATACATCGAATCCAATTTTCACTCATTTTCCAGGGAAACAAACAAAGTTCTCTATGCGTTCGGACAATCCAATCTCTCACTTTGTCATACATTGAATCCAATTTTCACTCATTTTCCAGGAAACAAACTAAGTTCGCCATCATCACCATCAAACTGAAACTGACCAGCCGGCCAATCAACCATATATAATCTTCATCATTGGTTGATCACACTTCACAGTTGACACTTGTATACAGCAGGCTAGAGAGAGAGAGATGGAGAAGATAGAGCACAAGATGGTACCTGTAAACGGTCTGAACATGCACATCGCAGAACTGGGTAAAGGTCCATTAGTCCTATTCCTCCACGGCTTCCCTGAACTCTGGTACTCATGGCGCCACCAGATCCTTTACATGGCGGTTCACGGCTACCGAGCGGTGGCGCCGGACCTCCGCGGCTACGGAGACACCACCGGTGCACCCATTAACGACCCCACCAAATTCACCATTTTCCATATTCTGGGTGACATCGTTGGACTTCTCGATGCCATTGCACCGAATGAGGACAAGGTGTTTGTTGTTGGGCATGACTGGGGTGCATACATTGCTTGGCTGTTGTGCTTGTATAGACCTGATAAAGTCAAGGCTTTGGTGAACTTGAGTGTTGCTTTTATGCCGAGGACTCCTACGGTGCAGACTTTTCGTGCTCTCTATGGGGATGATCACTACATTTGCAGATTTCAGGTTCCCTCTTTATACACAGACATATATCTATATGCGCAATATATCTGAACTATCTTTGACTTTTCTTTGGGATATAGTGGGAAGCCATGTTTATTAATGTAGAATCTTTATTTTCTGGTACAGTTAAATGTTTAAGATTTGTCAAACCTATAAACCAGGAACAGAATGTTTTGTAAGTCACACTTTAGGTTTCCCTATGAGAAAATTGAGTTGATGGTAGATGTGTGGATAAAAATTGGCATGCAGAAAAAGGATGAGTTGTTGCTTGGTTCCCCTTAACCTTCAAATGAAATAAAGGTTGGGTGGTGGTCCCGGTGAGAGGTTCTTCGATGTGTTAGTCAGTGAGAGTTCTAGAAAGAATTATTATATTAAATGGAGAGCAATGTCTATGAGAAACTTTGTATAGCTATAAACAGCTTAAGTTGGTGAGTGTTTTGGCAGAATCATGATATCAAATAGAGAGCAATAGACATCTGAACCTTTGTGTTGGAAAAGACCCTTACAAAGGAGAAGTGTGTAATGGAATTGATTTCAACATTGGAGTATCTTGAAGACTAGCTATTGTTAGTGTCAAAAGAGATGGGCCAAGTAGAAAGCTGCATGCCACGAGCATCCAAGGCGAATTCTGGTCTTTATATACGCTCTATCAGTTTTGCAATCATTCAGTTTTTGTTGATGGTGTAGGTTAGACCCAGGTTTCTTTTCAGGGATGCTCTAATAACACCTCTAAGATGTCATGAAGTTGTTATATGATTGACTAGATGGCCCATCTTACAGACTGATTGCTCAATTATGTTGCAGGAACCTGGGGATATAGAAGCTGAATTTGCTCAGATTGGAGTGAAAAGAGTTGTCAAGAAATTCCTTACATTCCGCACTCCCGGTCCATTTCATTTTCCTAAAGGTAAAGGGTTTGGAGATTCACCTGACGCTCCAATTGTTTTGCCATCTTGGTTGTCGGAAGAAGATGTTAATTATTATGCCAGCAAATTTGAGAAGAATGGCTTCACTGGAGGGGTAAACTACTACCGATCCATTGATATGTGAGTTACCTACCTATGGAATAGATCATGTGTCATGGCTTGAACTTTGTGTTTGTAATGAGGCTGTTAATTGGCTGGGTTTTGAATAAGATCCCCCATATATTGAAATTGATCAGAATATGCCAGACACATGATTGTATGATCCTACACATTTTTTCCTAGATTTGTACGACTTTAAAATGTATTGTATGGTGAAGGTGCAAATCTTTCCCCTATAAATCACTTCACACACACTTTACCAAACAATGTTGGATTGACTACCTCTTAGCTCAAGGGTCCTTGTTTGGGACCCGTCTTGACCCTAACCCAAGTGATGTGGAATACTGAAGGTTGACTTCTGCCATGCTAGCTGCCATCGTCCCAAACCACCAACCCATTGGATTGAGGTGCATTAAGGAATACACATATTTCATGGGCTCCACTCTACAAGGACCGACATCTTTAACCCCACGGTTTTAAAATATGTTGTACAATAGAAATTCAGAGGTTGCACAGTTGCACTTATAGACTACTCCACAAACTTCACCAAAGTATGTGGAGTCAAGTCACCACATTGCTAGGTTCAAGTTCGATCTCCTGCTGCTGAGTTCTGTGTTTTCAAGGACATCATAAAATATATATGCTGATTTTGTTTTGAACGTTACTAACAGCGGCCCTCTGCTGATAATATCGTGTTCTTCAGTATTCAATCCTTGTTTTCTTGATGAGTTAAGGATATGGTTTTTTCTTCCCGTTGAAATGCAGAAACAGTGAACTCACGGCACCCTGGATTGGAGCTCAAGTAAAAGTACCAGTGAAGTTTATTGTGGGGGACTTAGACTTGACCTATCATATCCCAGGCACCAAGGAATACATACACAATGGTGGGTTCCTGAAAGATGTGCCATTGTTGGAGAAAGTAGTAGTAATGGAAGGCGCAGCCCACTTCATCAACCAAGAAAAGGCAGAAGAGATCAACAAACACATTTATGACTTTTTTCAGAAGTTCTGAGGTTTTTGTTTTCTCTCTCTCTCTCTTCAAGCTCTGTTTCTTGGAGGTGATTGTTCTGTATGTGTGGCTGAATTTTGATCCTGTATGAACGTCAATAATTTTATTCAACTAGGGAGTGGCATATACCAGCCCTATTCACCTTTCTCTCCCAACATTTAGCTCGTCATCCAAAAGATGCTTCAGTTTCTTGATGAAATATTGAATAAATCAATAGCTATAGCTATGATCTTCGTGATTTTGATGGAGTGACAACTCCTTTAATACATGTCCTTTCTAATTCCTTTCTTGGCAAATCAGCTACTATGAATTCATTTGGGATCCACTGAATATAAGTGGAACCCTCATTAAATCATGGGGGGTGATCCACTAAATAAAAATTGAAGAAATAAGTATTAGAATGGATCTGGATCCTGTGATGATGTGTGTGAGTAATGGGGTGCATCGAAACATTCTTCCAACTACTTCACAATCTTAAATGCAAATAGTTTACTCTGAACCACCTTAGGAATTTCTGAACGTTATGGTGGATACTGGACTAAAAATACCACATTTGACGAGGTAACAGCTTCCATTTGATTTTTTTCAATCCCCTCTTCGGAGAATTATATGATCTTTACTATTTTGCACCCTCAGGTTTTATGAATATAACGAGTATGCATCCCATTTAGAACTGCACTCCCCAAAAAACTGGAAGCCAAACGAATTGGATTTGTCGGAGTGGTTAAAAAGTCTACCCACTTTGAGACACTACTGGAAGGTGAGTCTCACCAATATTAAAACGACAACCTTCAAGTCTAGGTCCATCGAAGTATACCAAAAAGAAAAGCAAACAGAAACAGTGTTCGCTAAGATGAAACATATTCACATCATCAACGTAAAGACCATACAAAACGAGTGTTCCTTTTCCTTCCTTTTTTCTTTTGGATCCTTAGTACAATAGGAACCAAAATGAAAAATCAGCGTTCTTGTTTAAGCATTAGGGTACAACCACAGCATACCCATTGGACAGAACAATTAGTCAATTCCATTTGCTGTCTCTACACACAAAAGCCTAAGAATCATCAAGTGAATATTTGTCAAGCTATTGTCTGTACCTATACGACTTCAGTTTGAGCCTTCCCAGAAGCAACAGACATGGGGCCAGGTAGGGGAGTCTCCTGATGGTTATCACTTGAAGATTGAGGGACATTATGTGTATCCTTGTCAGTTTCTACATTTCCAAGTTGATGGCTTGACCTGCAAGTTAATTTACTTCAATAGTTAATGAAGCTGAAATAAATAGCTTGGTCCCAACAATTCTTTCCAACATTTTCATTTTGATCCAGGAATCTAAGGCCTTGCGGAAATCAAAGAAATTTGCGATTCATATAGTTTTATTATGTCTTCTATACCATTTCATATCTACCTATCTACATAAATTGTAGTCATCTAGCTATTCTCCAGGTCAAATTTAGATTTTTACCACAAATGTGTGTAATTGCAACAATTTTTTCCAATTCTGAGCAATAATCCAAGTCCGCAATGCTAGAGCATATGCATGGATTCATTTTATATTCAGGGTAGAGTCGCCTTCTGCTATCAAAGATCAAATTTCTCCTGACAGACAGCCAAAAGTGCCTGTAGAGTGTATATATCTTAAAGTTTGTTTTGACTACAAACTATTTGAACTATGTAGAAGTTTCAAGTTCAATTAATACTTACCCTTGACGAAAGTTTGAAGGCTGACAACTGAGAAAGAAGGGGCTTGAACAGCATCCAGTGAAGTCAGTCACATCCTCAGAACAATCTGTATTTGACTGCAAAATAAAAAGGGACCATGCCATAACACATCGGCTGTTAACCATCACAACATAGTTCGCAAGTTCAAATGTATAATTTTTAGTCACGGTCTCTGAAGCAACTTAATTTAGGGGGAGAAAGTACTTCATTGTTTTCCATGTATAGAAAAGAAGACCTTAGTGGCAACTTGGAAAAAAAATAGCATGTTGGTTTATGCAAAAGTAACCAAAAACAACTTCCACGACGATAACAAGAACAAAGATGTTAATATTCAGAAGTTCAGGGCGTACTTACATTTCGTTTATGAGAACCTTGAAGCTCAGAGAGCTCAATATGCTGAACGTCATGCTTCCTCTTTTCTTGTATAAGAACAAATGCACATTTGCATATGAAAAATAGAAGTAGCAAGCCAAGAGAAAACACCATGAAGAATTCAATAACAATCGCTGATCCTAAAGCTGTACCGCATAATGAAACAGACGTCAGTTGGCTGAAACATCAGATCTAAGAAGATGCACTTCTTTAAATTTATTGCAATAAGTTGAAACAAATATTAAGCGAAATTCTGCACCATTCAATAAATTATATGGAGCTGACCGGTCATGGTAGTTCCTGGTTCTTATTCTATAAGCTGTAAATGTTGGATGGTACCAGAGAATTGGCACTTCAGTCTACCGTGCAGGAAACCCATTAAAAGATAGTTTCCAGCTACAATTTTGGACAATATGGAGGGTTTTGGAGAAAAAAAAGAAAGAAATAGTGGGTAGGAGGATTTTCAAACAATCAGGTAATTTGACAATTTCAGTGAAGCTAATATATAAAGGTTAGAAACAGCTAATATAACCTCTACCAATCAATGCAATTAAAACAAATTTCAGAACTGGAAAAGTTGTGAAAGACCTCAGAGATTAGGTGCCTTGCAAAAAATATATCCAGGAATTAAGTAACCATAACTTTGACTTACTATGAGCTAACAACGAACTCATTGGTTGTTTTCTTATCAGGTTTATTGTAGCCTCGGCAAAAAGAGGTATGGACATCTTTTCTTCACAATCTGGATAACACCCATAGTTTCCCATATCGTTTATTGAAACTGTTAAAACAGCAGCATGTTCACGGCCCTGCAAGAACAATTAATTATTAAAATTAAAAAATTGGAAGAGGATTTGCAAATAGTTCCAGTGGCAGTGCTAGATTTTCCAAATGCTTCAACACATTTTACTTACGTTAGATTGCAAGAGCTGCAACAAAATAGAGTGACATTACAAGCATAACATGTGTAACCACTAACTCATTTTCAAGCAACTAGTAGCGAAAGAGGACCATGTTTGCAAATTTATAAACAGGTTACTGAGGTGTCCTGTTATCGCCCTTGGTTATATACCACAAGTAAAAATTCCATTGCCCAAGGCCACTGATGCTTTTGCAGACAAAATTCTGGTAAAGTACCTCATTTAAGTAAATCTTGGTTAATGATTAAGTGATAAAAGAATATCTTTTGCAGTTCAACACTGTTTGATCACACTTCCTGCTACAGTTCAACGGCCTAAATGGAAATGCAAGATTCATATATCCGTGCCAAAATGTTGAGGTAAGGACATTTTTTTTCCCTTTCCTTATCAATTTTAAACTTTATTTTTCTCTCTATATCTATTATTATTGAATGGGAGCAGGTTGGACGTTGAAGAAAAGTATTATGTTCTCCTAATACGCTTCATTTGTTTTTCAGTCAAGACGGGTTTCTACAACTAGGATGCAGTATGTCACTAGAATTAAGTCATTAATCCACCATTCAATGTGATTGAAGATTATGGATTTGCTACTGGGATACTGTCTTGCCACAGCACCATTGAGGTTTGCAATGTAGCATACTTCTGAAAGAATTTGGTACCCATTATTTCCCTTAAAAGAAAAAAGAGAAAAAAGAGAAAAATGTAGACATTTGTGTTTTTCACTGCTAGGTTATCAAGTGGCGGAAGTCCAAATACATGGTCTAATTTCTCAACCCAATGTTTCCGACAACCCAAGGTATGCATAAAAGCATCACTTAGCCAGAAATCAAATAACTGATCATAAATAAAGCACGAAATGAAGATCTGAGTGCTGTGATTAGTGACAGATAACATAAACATCAATTTTCAGAATTTTTCCAGCCACTCACATGATAAGACAGCTGTTGCATGGCATCATTGCAGTCATTGATTGTTCCCCGGAATCTAATGCCTTTTGCCTTGACCATAAAATGTTTTGAAATAGTAACAAATGTTTGAAGGGGCTGCCACTGATAGCTGCTCTTCAATTTCAGTTCAGTTGTACTAACGAGCTTAGCTGGTAGATTGATTGATAAAATTCCAGAATTAACTTCCACAGAGAACATCACCAAAAATTGAGACTCGTTTCCTGTAAATACAAGTCAGTTAAATATCAGGACTATAAACTTCCATCGTGAGTTTTCAGTTTTTCAAGAAAAGGTAAATTAAGCACCAATGGTTTCAAAAATCTATTAAATTGTGTTCGAAGTTCAAAATTTTACATCATCTGCTTCCAGCCTGGTAACTATTTGTTTTCACAAGGTTCTCGAAAAGGAGAACACGTCATAATTTACCATACATACTTTTATCTAGGTCAAGATTCTGTGGTCTTGTCATTTCGCTAAAGAGAGAGCTTCAGTTCAGTGATATGCTATCAAATTTAATGGTCAAGAAGCAGACAGCCCATACTCCTAGTTGCCAACATATTGATGCAGAGTTGCCATGACATGCAAATGTTGCAAGTGCTAAACAAATCATGCAGTCCAAAACATAGCAATATTTGTGCTAAAAGGCCTGATCCTCTGATTTTCCTCCTAGTTATATACGGTGAAATCTTAAAGAAGACTATGAAGCAAAACCTAATGAAAAGTGGAGCCCTAGCCTAATATGAGAGTTACTAACAATTCGTCAAATGCTCTTATGCATTTAGTTACTACCCTGAAGGGTTTCCTGATGAAACTAGTGGTTTCAAGGTAACTTCATGGAAAATTATTTATTGTTGGAAAAGAAATTCTATGTTCATATCTTAACTGCAACCCCATGAAGTGATCTAGTGCGCCAACTTCCCAACTGCCACATTTGATAAGCAGGAAACAGTATTAGCCAATCAGCTTAGGCCACAATGCCCTTGTATTTCAAGTGGATTACATGCTTGCAAAAGTACTGGGAAAATGGAGACCTGTTCACCTTTCGCAGGCATCAAGTGAGTATAGAGGACTGCCTAGTATAATTGGAGCCTCTGACTACAAATATCGGGCACATATGTCTCCTGTGCAGCCATGAGACACCTATTTATCAGGCCATCATGTCTGTGCTCTGAGTTTAGATTGACCAATGCATTGATATTTCGAGTTTTGCCAAGTTTTGCCTTACATCTAATCAAAGGTTAAAAAAATCTTCATCCCTTAAATGACCAGCTAAGATAGTTGCACTTGAATAACATACCAGGGAAATTAAGCAGATCTGGGTCCCCAATGGTGAAATCAAATTTGTCCTTTTGTCTATCAAATATTAGCATTTCTTCCTTCTCCTTTCCCGCCAAAATGATGAATGCAGGAACATTAATAAATGGAGGATCATTGATAGGCTCTACGAAAATTGGAACATCTAAATCATTCACTCCATTATTGTTCATTGCAGCAACCCAAATTGTATCATCACCACTAAAATTCTCATTTCTGATAGAAAAAAATAGATAAAACAAGTCACTGCAATGTCTTTTACACAAGAGAGAGAACGAGAGAGAGGGGGGGTGACAGAGAGATGCAAACACGTTACTGAAAAATGAGAATGTGAATGCCTAACCTGGAAAAAAGAAGCAACAAGATATAAACCCAAGAGCTGAAAGGAAACCTTTTAGCTTGCTACCAAATAGACTAGGTAAATGATGAGGAGGGTATCGTAAAATCTGCATCTTGGAGGGAGGGACCTTGCCCAAGATTTTCAGCAAAATTAGCACAAAAGTTTCTTCACATGGGTGGGAGTACATAAGCTTGTACTTCCACCACCAGTTGAGAAAAGGCTGTCAGTCTCATACCTAGCTCCTACCAAACCTAAAAAATTCATTCACTAAGGATCTAGTGAGATGTAGCATATCAGAGAAGATGACCAATTCTCTCCTCAGAGTCTTCTCTTCCTTTACTCTCCCCTTTTATCCTAGACAATATGCCACTAAGGGAACAAGTGCATTCAGTCTCAATAGCATATGAAGCACAAACAAGAGCAGATAAAGCTCTATGGGTTATTCTTTGTTAATTAACATCTTTCTTATGCATGACGGGAAACCCCACCTTTCCTTCTTTCAGATTCTCTAATCTTTATGCAAATTGAAAAGAGGAAAGAACTCTTGATATGAAAATTGTTCTGCATGTATACAAAATTCTAAAAGCTTCTGATGATTAACTTACATACCATGAGTTGAAGTGAGAATCAAAATGATATCAAGTAGAAAGTCAAAGGTAGATGGGTATATGCGAATAATTGTTACTTATAACTACAAAGAGTATACATGACAATGTCCCTCTAATAGAAGTATATAAAGCAAAAATTCTATGACTCATGAATAATTAGTTATCCTTTTATCCTAAAATGTTAACATCAGAAACATCTAACAGTGCAGCTAAAAAATGTGTTCAGTGAGTAGTACCCAAGGTATTGGACTGACTGAAGGGCGAAGTTGATGACTTCCAAACGACCTACTAAAATTAAATCTTTAGCTTTTCCGTCTCTTTTTTCAATAGAAAGTTCACTCCACATGGGCTGCCAAAATTGCATCAGCATTGGGGAGAGAAAGACAGTCCCATGTCTTGCATTGAGCGTCACAGTGATGTTCTCGATAAAATCCGAATATATCATCTCAAAGCCAGAAAACCCACTGCAAAGAGAGAAAATTGATATGGTGCAACAGTAGATATTTGGGTATACCCAATAAAATAAAATGCAAAAAAATCCTTATGCGTCTATTGTCTTCCATAAATGTTCAAGTATGGATAGAATCTTACCCAAATCGGGGACCTATTATATCTTCAGTTACTTGCAAATGACGTGGAATGGAAATAAACTGAGGTGGAACGCTTAAAACAGATATATTGACATCAGCAGAAGCCAGGTTGCCATTTACATCTGATACTGTGTACGAGAAAGAATCATTTCCATAAAACCCTTTATAGGGTGTATATCTAAAGATACGTCCATACTGTAGAAGAGAACCATGACAAGGCTGCAGGATAAAATACTTCATCATAAGTTTATCTGGTAAGTGTAATTACTATCTCGTTAACTAGTATTGGTAACTGCAAAGGAAAAGACTGAGGTCATCGTATGCGATAATTATGACTAGGCAAGCTAATAAGAATCAGCCATTAAATGGAATCCAAATATACACGTTCAGCTTGTATGCAAAGTTTAGGGACAGCACAAATGAGCTGAGGCATTGAAAATACTTATAAATTTGTGCTTCTACATAATTTCTCTCTAAAAGCATCATTGTGTACTTGATTTCCATTGTATGATTTCGCATTAATTGTTTTTCTCAAGCATAAACTCAAGTGTCTCTTTTCTGCCAGTTGAAGTGATATCCAGAAACATTCTAAATCCAAAACACAACGCAAATTTTTTAATTTTTCCAGGTCTAGTAACTCAACACCACGAGACAAAATGCTTGTCACTCTGTAGTCTCTGTTACTTTGGGACATGGAGGTGGGGTAGTAGGAAATACTTGCTGGTTTCTTGATTTCCTGATTTTCCCATTTTCAGCAAGTCTAGGCTCCTAATCTTACCTTTGAGTAATCAACAATACTTGCATTGCCACCAGCAAAGTAATCATTTTCTACGGCATCAAAAGCAATTGACTCATCCTCCCAAACAAATATTATGTCATTGTAGGCTTTTGGAAAATATTCACCTAGAACAAAGAAATTTTCAATTGTCAGACTGGTGCATAGTCTTTATGTATAGAAAGAGAAATAAAGTGAATATTGACCACTCATATTTGAAAAAACAAGATTTAGATCCCATCTGATTCAACTACTGTAAACAAGTGACGAACTGAAATATGAATATCCATATGTGCCACAAAATATTTTCATGAGGTCAATGCACACATTTACCAGTTTGCTTCTCTAAAGTCACGTAGTCATGTCAACTCACTGAATTTCAGGCATGAAGAACTTGGCATATGCAGCCAAAAATACAAGTATTCCAAAATAATAAAAGTCAATCAAATATTAGCGCTCGTCACTAGGCAATGCATGATGCCAATTAATTCCGTACAAAGAAGAAGACAAGGAAGAAAAAGGAAAAATCTATTGTTTTTTAGATTGAGTATAAGCAGATACCTTCTTCAACAGCAATAATCATTGGATTCAGAAAGGACAGTAATACAAAAAAGAAACATCCCAAAGCCATATCCAAGGATTTGAGGTTAAAAAATGTGGATCATAAGGTCGATTTCGAACAACCACTCATGGAAAGGAATGGACCAGAATATGCAAAAGAATATTGTGGAATTCCATAGTTTCTTACCATAATTACCTCCTTTATCCAATATTATGAAGAACAGCACAAACTAACATTGCCACTGCTGGCAGCACTAAATTTGTCAGTGGAAGAATACGCTAAAATTCATGTTCAATGATCTTTCTAATCTTGATTTCAGTTTTAAGGCAATTGCTTTAGCTCATTTTAAGATCACAATAAGTTCCACAAAACAATTAATCATTGTTTGAAGTTTATAACAGACGGACCAATGAATTAATGTTGATAATTTTTATTGTTTCCTCAATTCCTATACAGCAGAAATAATTTCCATTTTATATATGGCTGAGCGCCACAATAACTTGCAAGCATGACACATAGGTATATGCAAAAAAGTGAGCCAACTTCACATTCCAACAGCACAGATCCAACCAAATCAGAAGTAATATATATCAGTGAAAGCAGCAAGAAAAAAATACGAATCATGTTGGATACATTTTGTAGCCATTAGAACTTACGACTGTACACATTTACCCCAAAGGGACAGGGCAAGAAACGTTTTCCATCAAATGAAGCACATATCTCATAAGTGCCGACATCCTTTGCCAGATAGAGACCACTATATGACCCATCCATGTTATCAACAAACATCCATGTTGAGAAACCAGAACTGTTAATTGAACCAATCTCCAGTTTTAACCTTGATTGTTGTGCCAGGACAGGATTAGAAAATGAATCCATGAGCTGCACTATTATTTCATTTTTAATCAGCTTTGGTACTTTTGGCACGAATTTTGTAACTCCTGAAAGTGATATATTTACGTCACCTGCCGCAAATCAGCAAACACATTAAGAACCCAGAGAATCAAGTGTTATCAACCCACATGACAGAAAACAAGAATATGATTAAATTAGTATAGAAGTGCAATAATCTTTTTCCATTTCCAACATGTTCTTTCCAATACATCCGAAACTAGAAGGTAAGGAAAGTCAAACTGTCCTGACAAGTACCAGAGATATTGAAATTACTGAAGTTGATCTGTCGAAATACATACCTGCACTTACTTCCTTTCTGAATGCACGACCGCCATTCAATGGAATGTTTCCACAAAATACACTAAGTTTGTATATCCCACTTTTTTCAGGCTTATACACAACATTGAATGAGCTAGCCTTAACTTTCCGGTTCTCAACAGACTGAATTCAAAACAGACTATTATCAGTTTCTATAACCTGTAAAAACAAATGCTTCTTAATGAATATGTAAGAGTGCTTCTTACATTGTTATGTGATGAAACAGTTGGAGCAGAAGCTAGTTCTATATGACTGCTGGCACCATAATTCAATATTCCAGTTGACCAACTACCTATTCCGTAGATGCTGGACTCTGTCAAATAACAGCTGAACAGAACGATAAAATAAAAATAATAGAATAATTACTTGTTCTGGTACCATTTACATTTTCCATTGGATATATGCTCGGATGTACTTGATGGGAATCCAATTCCCGCACAATTTGCACTTGCAGCCTTTCTAACTCAACCGGAGAAGGGTATAGATAAGCATCTTTCAAGAAAACAGAAAACCTTGCAACTTCACCAGCAATAGAATTATTTAAGCCAAATCCATTGATGATACTATTGAATCCATCGCAATACCCTATTCAAATTCAAACAAAACAGTGGAAACTGAATAATAAAAATATGATGATTTTCATGAAATTAGTTCAAATCAGTAAGGACCATCGACAAAAGCATTAAACTTGAATGGAACTTCAGAGTCCATTGATCGAGAAGGTGGTAAAAACTAGAAGGGACTTTCAGAATTTGAGCTTATTTAAAAATTTATTATTACAATTATTGTGCAATGTAAGAACATCTGAGATAAATGCTTGGTACAAAGGTAAAAGCACAGCCTACCAAGCGTGAGGAGTTTAAGAGCAGATACCTTCCGACAACTAGTGTCAATTGTAGGTTTTATAACCAGTCTTGCCATCCGCCTCTCTTTGCACCGCACTCCACATAGTGCCTGAATTTTGTATTAATATCCACTTTAATTTTAGTTATTTGTTGTGAGTATTTTTTAAATTTATAATAAAACTCTAGCACATGAATATCTTCAAATACTGTAGTCCATTGTTCGAACGTGGTTTATTGCAAAAATATAATAGTTCAAAATTCCCTGGCCACTACATCACGTTACAACTTCAACAGTTTCATGAAAAGCACATTTGAACTTAAAAATATTTTGGTAAGTTGTCAATCCACAGTAAATATACCTCCCAGAGGATCTTTAACAATTTAAACTTTTATACATATGCATACATCCAATCAAAGTATTAATAACAACTAAAATTGAATGCACCTAATACATTACCATCGAGTGGGAAATTTGGAGTTTATTTCAAATTGGAAAGTGGTACACATTAACAGGCCAAACAATTATCTTTCACATTCAATATAGGGAAAAACTACAGGAAAGAAAGAAAAGCTAATACTAAATCATGAGATCCTCTATTGGAAGTGAATAAAGGAGTGGCACAAAATGAAACCAAAATGGTTTAGATAATCACACCTATATAAACAGTGAAATCATATGGCATATTGGACAGGAGGTTATTCTGCTCCTTGTCAGAAATCATGAGCATAAAGTTCCCCGGTTCCTCTAAGGTGAAAGAAAACAACTGTATACCCGGTTCGACTTCTTTGAAATGCAAATCTGATATGGGCATCGACAAATTTGTCCCCTTTTCAATGACTTCAACATCAAATGCATACAATCCTGGAACAAGATTTCCATATTGGTCTCGCTGGTGTATAAAAGTGTCCATCACAGAAAATAGTTGGAAGAACTTCATTTCAGTATTCCATTGAGTCACACAATGAGAGAAATCCAATGCTCCTGTTAAGAACCATTAAAAAATGATACAAGGTAGAGATTTAAGCAACACGTCCATGGAGGGCACTATACAATTTTTCTTGAATATGCCTCTTAATATTTTGGCATTGACTTGAATATGCATGTTAATTAGAATCCATAACATATTTGTTATTGGTAATAAGGATTAAATATACTCGGCAATGAACTACCATAGGAGAAAAGATACAGCTTCTGAGTGCTTCATCTATTAAAATAGCTACATCTCAATCCAACCTGAGTTTCCCCGGTAAAGAAACTGAAAAATAGCAATAGTGGAGCAAAACTAAATATGTGAAATTATACTGATGTAAAGAGTATGCATAAAACCATGAGAATCCATAGTGGATATTTGTAAACTAATAAAATTACACTGCAAAGCTTTTACCATGACTAAAGTGAGAGAGAGAGAGAGAGAGAGAGAGAGAAGTAAATTAGCAATAAAGGTCCAAAAAAAAAAAAGGAATCATTATTAATTTGTGTCCTGCGGATCTCACAATCCATGTCGTGAGCTTAAAATGAAGCAAATCACCTGGGTTCACCTTGAAAGGCAATGGAGTTCCACTCAATGTTTGATTTTCCTCTTCAACATGAAGTAATAGGCTTCCAGCTGTGGCCACAATAAACTCAATGCTGAGATATCCCAATTCATTCCATCCTTTGTTACAGACATTAAGCAAACTTGCAACGGAACCATTTGTAAAAGATGCAGCCAATCCAAAATTATAAGAGATTGATCCTTCATTTGTTGATGAAATATTATTCCCAAATGCATCTTTAGGAAGTATCACAACTGCTGCTTTTGTCCCAGCCACAAATTTGTTCACTCCACCCATCCATGACACAACAGCAGTGGATGGATACATTCTCCCTTCAACATCACAGTTGCATTTCGGTTAACTAATATCTTTAAATGCATTGCTGATAAGATATAAAAATATGTGCAATGACAATATTTGTGAGCAAAATTAGAAAGTAAATTTCAATCATAAAATTCGATTCCAGTGAACATGAGCATGAGCAGCTCAGAGCATACATCAACCATAAAAATCAATCACCACATTGTCAATTATCCGGTCTATTACACACCCTAATAGGTCCATTTCTCACCAAACTCCTACAACTTTAACCAATTGTATGCATTTCATCAGCGGGTGAGAGCCAACACAAGTGGAACTAGTGAAATTCTCTTCATCTTTCTTTTGGTGTTTTAATGCTAATCATAACCATGAGAATGTTCACATCTTAATACCATAATCTACATGCAGAAAATTGAAAATTACATCAAGGATCAAGTGTCCAGACAAGTTACCAAAAAAAGAAAAGAAGGGGGGGGGGGGGGGGGGGGGGTTATCTGCCAATTGTCCTTATCAAACATGAAGAGTCAGCCCCCAAACTTATTTCTGATTTTGCAAAGGGCCCCTTAAAATCCACAACAAAACAGAGATTTGACATCAATAACTCCAATAAGAATCAAACCTGGTGTAACCCGGAAATGCAACGAAGAATCTAGAACTTTAAAATGGTCATCGGTGATAAGCACATTGAACAACCCAACCATAATAGGAACGAAAGAAATCCTCCAATTGTCAACATCAACATCAACATCAAAATGTGAAGAAACTCCAGAAATATAAGAACTATTTCCCATCTTTTCACTCACTGTGATGTTAGGATTAAAAGGATATTTGTACTTGTGAGCCTCGAAATTTCCCAGTACTTTAACCTTTATAGTTGCTATATCCCCGGCCATGAATGTGTCATTATTGTCCAACCAACTGAAAGCCAAACCGGGCATTGGTACACCTTCTGCTAGATCAAAGGATACCACTTAATCCATCAAATACAAAGCGTGTGTGTGTGTGGTCATGGAAGTATATATTTATGCAAATGTGAGAAATGGGTAATTAAAATACCTGATTTTGCAAGTGGAATACTAAAGGGTGGGAAGAGAGAGGCGGTGAAAAGTAGAGTGTGAGTGGTGTATACGAGCTTTAGAGTCATCATAGTTGAGAAAATAGAGAGCTTCAGAGGCAAAATTTTGATGGCGAAAGAAATTTTCAGTGTGCAGACGGTAGGAGTTTGAATTGATATACTGGAGAGAAAATGGCGGTTATGGCCGAGAGAGAGAGAGTGGGCGAGATGGGCTCCGCTTCATAATGGGACGGAAATGGGCCACTGTGATCGATTTTGAGCTTTTTTGACTAGTGGGCTGTAATCATAAAATGATATAGAGAATTATACTTAGAAATTTTAAAATTTGTCGTTTATCCACTTAAATTTCTTGACATTTAAAATATTAAAATATATCTATTAAGATTTATACGCGCGTAATACTTAAATTCTTGTCGTCAATGTCCATTAATAAATTATACCTAGATTCCCTAAAGTTTATAGACATATAATATTTAGACCCCTTAAATTAAAATATTATATTTAAACTAAAAATACTCTAATTTTAGATAAAATATTAAATATTTTAAATTTTACAACCAAAATTTATATTTTATTGTATCATTTATTAATATAAAATAAAAAATAAAAAATTCAATTTTTTCTTAAAAAATTATAATTAATATACAATTATATTATCTATTAGAATAAAACTAAAAAAAATCAAATAAGTGTTCTAAATCATTCACAATAGAACATAAATTTTACAACCAAAATTGAAGTTCTATTATGTCATTTATTGAAATAAAATCAAAAATAAAAAACTATTTTTTTCTTAAAACTCATCATTAATATGTGATTATATTATCTATAGACGGTGACCATAAAAGGGCAAATGTTTTTTGAGATATTCGAACTTGTGATCTACGCCTGTGAAGACACTCGTCAGGTTGTCAAGCTACCACTCGGAAAAAAAATTGTCATTTCCCCCCTTTTTTTGGTCCCTATGTGCAGTATAATTTGATGTATCTTCGTGGATTTTTTTTCACTCAGATGATTTAAGCATTCTTCAATTTGATCTGGGTTCAAGATCTGATAATGGATTTAACCACAATTTCACCATTGTAATGTGGGCAAACATTGAACTAATCGCTGGAAGGTTCCTAGAGGTTTATAAGAAGGTAGTTTATAGATGAATCCAGTTTAACCTATATGTCAGATCAATCCAACTAACTCTAAATTATTTACAAGTTTGTCGATCCTACAAACTTAGCCCTCAATTATCAACACTACCAAAATGGTAGCTCCTCTATAAAATTATCGTTGTATATACACAATAAATTGACAAAGTTCCTACGTTTACAACTCCGAAATTTCACTTACGTCTCGATGCCTTGCTGCGAATATGGTATCAAATTGTCTCCCACAGTAATTCCCACTTGTTTTAGGCATTGGTGCACGCGCTGACCATTAGAAAAACCGGCATCATGCTCACCCATGTTTTAGCATTGTATTGATGATCCCATCCATGTAGCGACCGGCAGCAAGGTAATCCTTCACCCATAAGCTGCAAAACATATATGAAACACAACAAAACAACTAAGATTGGACATGAAACTGATTTTACGAGAAAATAGAGGAGAAAATAAATTAGTTAAGATCTTATCTTGCATCACAACGAGGTACGGAATATTGCTTTCCATCACCCCAGATCAAGTAAATGAGTCAAATAAAGGTGAGGACACCTTCACATGTTTCACCAGGTGAAGTTTCCAAGATAAAAATCAAAACCAATATGGACAAGTATAGCAACACTACATTGACCAACACTCGTAATAATTCGACTTTCCTACAGAATTTTGTAGAATCAAATATACAAGGTGTTGATGTGTTTCGATGAACGAGCACAAGTTAGTAGACACACAAGTCAATAGTTTCTTTCAAATTAAATACATCCACGATGAAATGCATGTGAAGTTGGCTGACTTGCACGAACCCCATTAATTATACAAGATAATCCTGTTGAAACATCTAGTATAAACCACCATCAATGGTCTCACCTATCTGACTTGTGCTCCTTGTATTTGGCACAACCTGCATAACAAAAATGCTATCAAGATTTCGTCATTATATAACAGTAGCTTGAGCAAGCTTTTGTAAAGAGCAAATCCATAAGCTGCCAAAGCTCACACAAAAAGATAATGTTTTTGACTCCTAGAAATTGACTAATACGGTTGTTTTTAAGTTGCCAATACTCTAAGGGTAACAATCCCGAACAGACTAGTGTAGCACCAAAGTAGAGATAACAAGTATCTTCTTGTGTGTCATAGAACCCTATCCGAAAACAAAATGTGTAAGAATCCAGAGAAAGACACGTAGTAAAGGGTATTTATGTCTTTTAGTTATATTTGGATACATATAGATACATTGAGTGAAAAGGAGCGATTATGCTCTTTGCGTCTTGTATTATTCATCTCTCCAAAAACACTATCTCCCTACTTTCAGTCAGTATCAAAGCACAACTATTAATCTAATTTAGGGTTCACAATTGCATGTAAAATTCTGCAATTAGGGTCAAAGTTTATGCAAGGTAGATTTACGATCTCGTTTTCTCCCATCAATCCATTTAAGCGAGACTTTTGATTGAAAGTAGTGTCTTTTTAGCATATTATGAATTTTCTACTTCTCTCTTTTACCTTTTTTTTTTTTGCCATTTTATTTGTTGTGTGTATCAGTTTGACTCAGATGCAAATCAACTGACTTGAATGAGATGGATCCAATTTGCATCAAGTTATACCAATTCGGAACAAATACTTGTTAGAATTGTTTTTTTTCGTATCGTGTATTGACATATTGGTATTATATCGATGGCAGTTGGCCGATACTTTAGAATGTGATTGCAACATGTTTTCAGTTTGTTGTTAATTAGTGTGTTTCAGTCGTGGGTTCATGGTCTATAACATTGTTTGGTGTCATGGTTGCTTCGGTTCTTACCAACGACAAGAACCGAACCAAAGCAACCATGGTCTATATATTCTTCTAAATTATATGATGTTATGATTTCAAATGTCTTGTTTCGTTGAAATAAAAGTTCAGTGGGTATATATATATATAGATACCTTTTTCTTTCAAGTTAATTTTCAAAAGTAAGTTGCATCGATGAGTTGGTTTCATCCGCTATTACAGTCATCCTTGTGTTACAATTCATCTGAAGAAAATGGTGACTTATAGGCCATGTTCAAAATTGCTATTAGGCTTTATGCCAAAAATGTCATATCCTGAGAGAGGTATAGTGATGATAGCGTTAGCCAACGTAGCTACTAGCTGCAGCAACAGTGATGCCACTTACAATCCTAAAGCGTCTCAAACAGGCTAAACACAAGATATAAAGGTTCTTAAACGCCATTTCCTTGTAAGGCAATTTTAAGGCTGAGTTTTATCCTAACTTGATATTGGATGACTTTTGAAGTCAATTAATTATATTGCACGGGTATATTAAAATTTGATGAAGAGAAACACTACTGCTTAACTCGAATCATTGTGTAATTGAGCTACCTCAAGTTTGAATCATAATGTACACGTCTGGTAGGCACATCCAAAACACACAGAAAAATCATTCTGTAGAATGAGAATACCTTCAAACTGCCTTCAAAGTTGCCTCCAAATGGCATAAAAAGCAAAATAGGATCACATATGGAAGCCCTTCTAAGACTATAGATGAATAGAATACGAGATAACAAATAGAGCGATCTACGCTAATAAAGAAAGGGGAAGCAGAAATTCAAACCCAAAACTTCGCAGCAGCTATAAAGAAAGGGGGAAGCAGAAATTCAAAATTCACACTTGAGTTGATTTGAAAACAAACAATAAAGCAGAAGTGTCTAGGTTAATAGTAGATTATGCCTCCCACAAAACTGACTAGTTTAGCTGGTGGGAGAAAGACCAAGAACAACACAAACAAAGACTCAAACCCTAAATCCTCTGCTGTTCCTTTTTCCTCTGGCTCTCTCAAATTTCCTTCCCTTTGACCGAACATATGGTTTGGTGTGGCTGTGGGGCACACCAGGAGCTTTGCCAAAATGTTTCACTGCTTCACGGGCATTCTTTGGACCTCTGAGTAAAATCTGCAGCAAGCACAGAACAACTAGTTAACTTATCTAATCCTTTGTTTCACCAAACTATTACTTAACCCGCATTTCCTCAACCAGAGATTCTCGTAATCAGCAGAAAATACAACTAACTGCAAATACAGGTTCACCACATATATGATCAAAGAGGAGTCCTGCAAGGAATGAAAAGGTTTGGGAAAATGTGGGGTTTCCATCTTAACCTATGAGAAAGAAGCCAAATACAAAAATAGTTTTAATTTGGGAAAATTAAGACAGTAATCTATTAGTAACTATTTCTTTTAGGGGGTACAAATGGTTATCACAAAGGGGTTTCTAACCTATCATTTTCCTTCTCTTAAAGGATCGAAAACAGATTCTTTGTTTTGTATCTATTGCCATGTGACCAAAGGAAAAGTGTTATGAAAGGCGTAGGTGGCAAATCAACTGGATAAAGATAATAAAATAATATAATGAGGTAATGAGCATGCAAATTGCACTTGTCCACCCCAATGATATGAAATGAACCATTTTCATCTATTTGGTCTCAACTTAACTCAACAAAGCTTGTCCTAACATATTAGGTGTCGGGCTATTTGATCTCATATGCAATTATGTGCAAAAAACCCTGCAAAATTGGGGGTATGCCTATGTAGAATTTAAGACACTTGTTGTTCATGGCACCTAGTAGATGAATATGGTTTTATGCCTTTCCCCAAGCGGAGAGACAAACCAAATAGTCAGCATTCACCCAACAGTCCTGCCTGGATTTGGCCAATCAACTATCTTAGGTAGGCTCTCGACAGCCCTTGGCTCAGTGGGCAATACGTGAATGGCCCCTACAACCTGCCAGTCAGCCCGTCCCACCTCAACTAGCTAAGCTGTTGGGACAACTCGCAGCCCACTTATTTACTCTCAGGGTCAAAACTGTAATGGTTTGGATTCCAAGGGTTCTAATTTCAAAATGGTGAGCTTTGGCCAAGCCAAGCACTAGGGTCACAGGGAGAATGCAAGTTCTCCGCAATGGGTCAGGGGTTGACCCAAAGTCTACCTGGGAGGAGGACCAGGCACCACATAGCATACTAAACCAGGCCAAATCAAAACTAGATCATAGACCAAATACATTAGGATAGCTTGCTATAGACCTATCAAAGAAGCCTGGTTAATTGGGTATGGACCTAACCTTTTACACTTGGGCTGGCCCAGCACTTTATCCAACCAACAACCGAATACCTTGGCCCATTTGACATCTTCCCTTAGACCAAACACCGTTTCCTTAACACCCCAAACCAACCACATAACATAGTTAACTAAAAGATAGGAAGCATAATGCATATGATTGTTACTAAGTTGAATATTTTTTCATCTTTGCATTGAAGAATTTATCACCATTTTGCAAGATATAGACGAAAAAATAAACGACAATGAGGGGAGGTTCACATGCTAACCCAACAGAATGTTAAGCCAATTCCCATCTTTATAGTAGGTTCATGAGTAAAATGTCAGCCATGATGCAAGGAAATTCAATTGCTCTAATCGAACAATACTTTCTCAATCAGTGAATAAAAGTTATCTTGGTTAATTCAATTTCAAAAATAAACATGATACAAAATTGAATTTAGTTTATAAGAGGAATTCAGCACTTTATAGTATTTAAAGGGTGATATAAAATACTTTAGGATACATTGTATGGTACCTTAATACTCGATTAAAAAGAAAGAGGGCAAGCTCCAAACTATGAAAAAAGCATGCTTCAAAGAACATCATGAACACGACATTTATGAGTAATTAAATAGACTAAAACCATGAATGAACCAACCATTTATATATCTCAAAACAATTGGAATCTGAAAATGGAGTTGAATTTCACTACCGTGTTCTGACCAAGAGGAGCTCTGAGAGCCAACTGATCAAAAGTCAGACACTCTCCACCTGCCTTCTCGATTCTGGCTCTCGCCCTCTCCGTGAACCTCAAAGCAGTCACTTTCAATGCCGGCACCTCATAAGCCCTAATATCATCAGTCACAGTCCCAACAATCACAGCTATCTTGTCCTCCTACGAAAAATCAACCACATAAACAATCACATATACATACAAAACACAGTAGCATACATATAAATGCATAAATTCATATAAAATATACCTTTCCTTGCATAAATCGAATCAACCTGGAGAGAGACATCGGAGGCTTGTTGATCTTGCTCATGAAGAGCCGCTTCAGTATCACCGCATTGAATTTGCTTCCGGTTCTTCGAACCAGAAATCGGTATAGCTAAAAACAGAAATCACACACCAATATAATAAAACTGTAAGCATCACAAACACACCCATTTTCCAAGCGTACTTTCACACACATATACACAGTGAGAGGGATACGGAGAAGAGAGGACCTTGACAAGGAGCTTGAGGTAAATATCATCAGATCTTGGCGCAGTGCGCTTGGTTTTCTTTCTTTTGCCGCCGGCGACTAAATCGATACCCTGCGATTAGAATTGTTAAAAATTGTGATCTAGATCAGATATTGCAACTATATATACATATACACACGCACACACATATATGTATAGGCTAGGGTTCGGAGGAACAGAGGCAGAGGAGTCACCATTGTTGATGGTCCTGGTGGTGGGTTCTCAGCAGCCTCAGCGTCGATGAAAGAGTGAGGGGAAGGATGATGTGTTTTTATACGATGGAGGCCGCTCGGTTCAATGAAAGACTAGGGTTTTTGTTCACGAAACTACACACTATTCCCTAAAGGTTTTTAAATTTTTATTTTTTCCCCTTAAAAAGTTAAAAATCTCTTATTATGCCCTATTTTTTTTTTCAATGGTTTGTTTACCATTTTTTTAACCAAACGTATGTCCCACATTGGGTCAAAAAGTAACACATTGCTACTGTTTAAAAATTCGATTTAACCTTTGAAAGTACACCGAACATTGATTTCACTAATCATTTTATATATCAAAAAAAAAAAAGATTTTTTTTCATAAATTTTGTTTAGCTTGCCCAAGTAGTCATGGTAACCGAAGGACTGAAGCCGAGAAGAAAAACAAAAGAGCATGTATACTGTATACTCAATCGTCCCAATCACAAATCCTTTCAGACTCATGATTACAACACAAACTACAACGTAACCACTCAAACTATGTTAAACATTTCAAGATTGGGCAGCACAATGGCAAAAGCATAACTTGAAACTTTTTATTATTGCTAACAGTCTACAAGGCTTGTTACAACAGATTACAAGAACATGATTGAATGCTCTTGCTTCTCAACAATTCCAAACCCATCACATGGGAAACAAGAATACTTAAACCCCAATAGGTCATGCAGAGAGAAATTTTATTCCAGGCTGGTATTGCCATATCCTAAGGGTTGCATCTCCATTCACTATGGAAAACAAAGATCATCAACTAAAAGTCGATTTAGCGGAGAATGTGCAGTTACAGAGGATGGAGACGGGCACTAATGGTGCTGGTCGAGTTAACGATCAGTCATCTCATATGCAACATGAGCAGCTCTGGTTTTTCAATAAATAGCTTCCACTCATTACAGAATCTTGCAACAGCTGCTCCGTCCAGAACTCTATGATCAGCACCAATGTTTACCTGAGAAGGAAAGACTACATCAGACACACAGAGAATATTCACCTGTTGTACCAAAACCAATATATGCAAAGAACCATGCTAACTATTATCGAGCACAGAGAGAATATTCACCCTCTTTAGTTACCGCCCCCTACTTGCTGATTCGCAATTACTATCCTACAATCGTTTTGTCTATTAGATTGATTGGACATAATTCTGACCAGTTCAAATTTTTTTCACATGATGCACCAAAACTACACAAGTTTTAATGATCACACGAAAAGTCAAGAACTTTAATGGTTAACAAGTTATAATGATTACACAGAAGTTTGGGTCGACTGGGCATACAGTAACTGGGCCAGGCAACGGTTACATTTCTTGCAATAAGTAACAACCTTAATGGAAGTTATTTGGGAGAATTAGAAAATAAAAATTATCGAGCAAACCCTCTTGCAACATCATATTACGCAACAAGAATAAATGCAACATCTCATACTCCAAGCCACCATCTCATATGTAAGACTCCATCTACACGTTGATTCATTTATCTGGCTGCGAATAAGGGCTACTGCAGTACCAACCAAAAAGAGGGTAGTAGCTACTGAAAAAAGGAATAGACTGGAATTTAAGAACATACTCTTAAAACGGTACTCAATGATCTTGTAGGTACTGAAACCACTAGGAGTACACCCAATAATTTACGAGTAATGCTATATGGACTTAAAAAATAGACTTGATAATCACAACCATTGAATTGGTAGTAAGTCCCAATAAATGTTGGGACCCACAGTGAAATCAATAGTTGTAATTATCAAATCTACTTTTTAAGTCTATCTAGTATTGCTCATAATTTATTGGCTACCTAAGAAGTGTTTGAAACGGGTATAAAATACCATGTGTGTGTGTGTGAGAGAGAGAGAGAGAGAGATCTTCATTCAGACCATCCAGTTATCACTGACATCATGATGATGACATATCAGCACTTTAGCCCTGCTGAGAGGACTTTAAGCAATGAATCAACCATATTATCCCATTATTGATGGCAAAATGACTGAAGCAACAAGTCATTATGCAGCAGAACAAAGTAGGAAATAACACTATATTAGACTAAAGTATGTATGCTTCGGATTTGACCAATCTGTACTTACAGTCATGACTGACACTGGATACACATTTCCCTCATCAGCAAAATGAGGAACTTTCTGGATTCGGCCAATTGCAATGATGGCAACTTCAGGCAAATTGACGAGGGGCGATCCAAACTTTCCACCAATTGCTCCAATATTGCTCAAAGTTATGGTTCCACCAGATATATCATCAGGAGTAAGCTTGTTAGCTGAAGCCAACTGATGTAGCCGAGACAGTTCCTTTGTTATCTAAAGACATGAAAAGAAGATTAAATCACGTAAAAGTCTTTTTTTATAGGAAATCCAGGGTGATACCTGAAAATAATTAATAGTTATGCACAGTAGTAGCAGTAGTACTACTAGTAGTGATTATAAGAACAAAACAACAAGATGACAACAACTACTACTTAAGCATAAAATGATCAAAAATAAGAACAAAACACTAAACCATGGAGATCAGAAGTTATAACCAACCTCCAAGATCGAAAGTGACTGAACCTTCTTTATGTTTGGTACAACTAAACCATATGATGTAGCCATGGCAATTCCAATATTGTGGGAGCCTATGACAATTAGCAGAAATTATGATTAGGAGTTGCATCCTATGAGCGACAACGGGAAGCAGTATCGTATACAAACTTAGAAACTGGAGAGCATCATGTGGATTGTCATATGGCCTTTTAGTTTATAGCTGTGTTTTGTAGATTTTGTATTTGATCTATCATTGGGTTGGACGACTTGTCCACCTTTCATATGTCTTTTTGATGATTTTTTGTAATGCCTTTTTACTTGTTATGAGTAAAAGTTGTTTCTTATTGGGAAACAAAACAGATAAAAATAAGCATCTCAAGTTATCCATAAAAATGACTAGCACTAGTTTTGAACTGAGCAGAACTATCAATAATAAATAGCATTTGATATGTGGACTTTTTGAGTCTTCCAAACAAAAATTTAATAAATATTCTATTGGGTTTTAAAAGGTTTTCATATAAGGCCACCACTGAGTTCTTTGTGTTTTCCATAAAAACCAACAAGCCTATATTAAACACTCGCAAAAAAGGTAATTCAATGATTTTAAAAGTTGGCTCGCTGACTGCCAAAGAAGTGGTGACCAAACTGATGGAAACTACAAAATTGAGGATATGTGGCCCAAAATCATGGAAAGACAACCCCATGAAAGCAGAGTTTAAGTACAAATTTTTAAAGACATACTTCGAGAAAATAGTTATCAAACACAGAAACAAATAACTTGCACCAGAATAAGTAAACAGACAACAATTCCGACATCATAATTGAAGAGAAGGCACATAAAACTCCAAGCAATGGTTCCCCTCCAACTAAGAGAATATCAATCCAGTGGATCTTGACAGGATAAAAGGCTATAGTCATGTTACTTTTTTGCTGTAACCATACAACTTTGGCTGCTGTTTGGAACTTCTGTAGAACAACTTCCTCAACAAACATATCACCCCTCATTGAATGATAAAATAATCCCTAAGATTGATAGCAGAGAGTAAGATCTCTGATTCTTTACCTTCATCATCCGAAGAATGGTGGAGAATACAAAAGCCAAGAATTAACTAAGCATGCCAAAAGCATAGAGATGCAACTTATAAAGTCAAAAGAAGAAGAAATAAGCTATATCGATACACATGTGATGCATGTAAAAGAGGCCCAGTGCACAAGTCTCCCATCACTGCAGGGTTGGACAAGGGTCAGACATACACAACCTTTTCCCCACATAGGTGATGCATGTACTCAGCTAATTTTTAATATATATATATTGAACTTGTTCTAAGGCCTAAAAATAACCAGTTAGAGTCATAAAAGCAACTACTGCACAAAACTGAACGATATAGACCTTTAAAGGTGACCTCATGCAATTCCTCATTGAAGGAACCGTTTAGCAACGGATGTCTACTCAATGCCAATGAGAGCGACTTTATCAAGACTGGAAGAAAAGTGTGCTTGACATCTGGATCAGAATTTGCATTTTGAAAAGAAGCTTTAAGCCCCACAAGTGCATCACAATTTATCTCTTCTACATAATGAAAATGTGGAATCTTTGCAGCCAAGGTCATTGATTTGACCATCGCACGCTGGAATCCCCTGCAAAAGTATAACTTCTGTTATGTGTCATCATTTATGTAACCTCTTTGAATTTTATCAAATTCAAATATAATTCTCTTAACATTCTACAATAAAATATCAGAAAAAACAAAAATAACAAAATAATAAGTCAATGGACATTAAAATTGGTAAGTCGGTAGAGTAAATTGTCTAGAAGGATGGTTCCCCATCCCTCATGTGAGATTGGTTGGGCCAATGATCGAAGCCGATGTACCCTACAGTTTTTCCACCCAGTGAAATTTCATGGAGGTAAGCAATTTCTACCTGATAAAACCAGATATATACAAAAAATGAGAAAGTCAGCAATATTGACCTCAATGTCATAAACCTGATTAATGGTGTACTTTATACATATGCATGGTATGATGTTTTGATAGTTCTTTGGGTTTGGTATTTTGTCTATGTTGGTATCCAAACTTTGAGAGGGTATACAACTATATAAACAAAATGTTAAGTATGGATTAACTAAAGTTAATCGAGTTTAAAAGTGCCTAATTAAAAGATTAGCCTAGCTAATCAAGCTACCATTGTTGACTTTTCTAAGAGGTGTGTACTTGTGTAGAGTAAGAGAGAGAAAGCCATAAGAACTACAGGTGTCTCATATATATGTATATATATGTGTCTTGTAACTATATATATATTGTAATTAAAGAAAGAGAAAAGAGGAGCTTGTGTGGAGAATGAAAGAAGAGGAAGAGAAAAAGAGGAAGAAAAGAGAGGAAAAAATTCAAGCAAGTGACTTAGGGCTTGGAATCTCCCCAACAAGGTATGATTGTTTTAAGTAAGTAGTATTCTTTACTTTAATCAGAAAGAATTAGTTAATAATAACAATCATGAATTGAGAATTAACAAAGAAATCATGCTCTAGTTAGTCTAATTACAAAGCTACGAGTATTTCACATGATATGAACTTCGTAGTTGCTAATAATTTAGTTTAAACACTTTTTAGAAATTCTAGAAATTCAAGACAGCCAGTGATTTTGGGATATATATGAGTTACAATCAATTGATGATTCTTAAACTTTTAGGGTTAGTAGTAGATTATCAAATGGTTCTTTTGGCTTTGATTTGATGCAAAAAGGATGAAAACTTGAATTTTGGGAAATTTCTAAAGTTAGTCCTGACCCGCTGAAACCCGTAGATTTATAGCTTATGTTCAGTTTATAATTTATTTAGAACATATATTTGATCTCCAAAAATAGCAATTTTGGATGGAAATGAAGTTCTTTAAGTTTACTTTTGTTTGCCACTGGCCTTGTGAAGTTTCAGCTTGTATAACTTTATGTTATGAAGCTTTTTAAGTACAAATGTCTAATCTTGCATCTTTTGGAAATAATGCATAAATAGAAAATTTAAATGGGATTAAACGGAAACATTGGATGTATTGACCAAGAGGTTTAAATGACAGAAATTAATGTCTCTCCTCTTATTTGGAGTGAGAAGAAAGAGGAATAATAAGTACATGATGACAATCATTAGAGATCAATAGTCAACATAACAAGTACTTATGAAGTGGGAATATATAAGAAGTAGGCACTGCGGGATGAAAGTAATGTGTATGAAATATGTATAGAACTTGTTAAAGGGAATCAAGAGTTATATTGCCCAGTTAAGAACTAAGGTGACTAATCTTATACTTTAGAATGAAATTTTGATGCCTATGTCTTTTTGAAATGCTAGCATAACCAAATTTGAGAAATATGTGCTGATTGCCCAATTTTGATTCCCTAGATTATTACATGACTTGAAAAACGTCTACGTATTAAGTCCCAACGCCATAATAGAACCCAATCGGGGGACTCAAATCCGATAAATGTCCAAGCCAGTTGACTTAAATCTGGTATAAATCTAATCCGGTGGAATCAAATCTGGAGAGCTCAAAATAAGTAGGACGTGATGACAATGGCTTGATGACATGACATGATACATGATTATATCTTTGACATTAGATCCATAAACTTATCCTGAAAATCATATGATGCTATTTGACATGTATGTTGATATACCTAGAAATGTTACATGTTTTATTTGAAAACCTTTACGGGCATTGCCCACTCTTTCTTTCTAAAACCTTTTAAGGTGTAGGGGACTGACTATGCTTGGGGCAATTTCAATGTATACTACACAACATTTGGATGTTGTGAATAGAAGTTGTGAATGAATTTTTTGGAAAGTCTTTTTTGGTATGTAGAGGTCATGCTTTGTATAAATGGCAGACTTATGTTATAAGTTGCAACAACTATGTTGTTAACAAGATATGGGTAGGTTTGCTCTGATTAAATCTAACTGTATAGGGTATTTATATATATTATTGTGGTATTATTGCAAATAAATCAAATGTAATCATAGATGTAAATCATAAAACGTAAATAGGTGACAACACATTTGGTTCCATGTTGGCCTCCACAGCAGTCATGCTCCATAACCTAAGGAGAAGGTGGTTTTGGGTCGTGACACTCAAGATATCCCTAATAGCGTCCCGGTCACTAAAAGAAACAGGGACAAAACATAAAAAGTGAAAAAATATGACAGGCCATAATTTACCACTCCACTGTGGCACGACTGTCCTCAAATGCAACCAGAAAATTTCCAACAGTAACAGCAGATTTCAGTAACTCATTTATTAAAAAAAAGAGTAACTCATTTACATCATTCATACCTTTGCTGTGCAAAAGTGGGAATCTCACAATCAACCACCACTAACACATTTTCCAAGCAAATTAGCATCATTCATATCTTTAGTAAAGGTGTGTATTAGACAATTCCACCACAGGAACTGAACTGCGACTTTAAAAGTGTTCTCTGACCTAAAGTTAAAGCATGTAGGCAGCCAGTCACACTACCAGAGGACACTCTCTGTTCATTGCATGACGTATGCATTACACAAAGTCAATCTTCCTTACTAATTTACTAATACAAAAGTAAGATTTAACTTAAGGTCAACCTTCCATAAAACCGAAATTAAAAAATCCAATTAGATGGTCATCTAGATGTCATCAGAGGCAAAATTCTGAGGGAACCCTTTGCAGATAACTTCATTTCCTACTTCTAAAAATAGCATTATTAGAATGAGGATACCCCATGCAACTAAGATGTTAAATTCGTCATCAGTGTTTATGTAGGGATAAACCGCGTTTGACATGAAGCAGCTCATGTGGCAAAGAGTCATAATCTAAGTAATGCATTGGAATTTCATGTTTATATCAATATACCTCAGAGGAATTGCCTTATCTTCATATTCCCCTTCTCCTCCAAGCAATTGGTCCGGAAAAGTAGCCCTAGAGGACACTGGAGTTTCCTTGAGAATTCCTTTGTTGGATCCAAATTGGAGGATGTCTTCTTTTAATACCCTCCCATCCTTACCAGTTCCACAGACATCATTTATATTTATGCCATATAGCTTTGCAAGGTTACGAACAGCAGGCGTAGATAGAACTCCACCTATTTCCGACTTTCTAGGTACTGAACTTTGACAATCTGCGTCCCCCATATCAGAACCCAGCGACTTTGTATGGTCCAGAGCATCCAAAATCTGAGTTGGAAGAGGAGATTCACCAACAACGATCTTCAGGAGAGTTTCTCCAACCTGCAGTACGAATGACCTTGGAAGTCATTACATTTCATGTCAAGCTAAAGGACTATACTTTTCCAAAATGTGCATAAAGAAGAACAGGATAGTTCAGAAACCAAAGGAATGTCTCTAAACTTTCCTTTTCCTATCTTTTGATAGGGAAACTGGAAATGAATCCACCATCTAACTTTTCTGTCCAATGAAATTGATTAAATCTATCCAAATTTTTTAATGAAACCTATCCAATTGTGTTCCTACACTTTGCGCATGGATTTTATAAGATCAGTAAATTATTCAAACTAATTTCTGATTCATGATTAGCATTATGGTCATTGCCAAGTTTCCGGATTTGTTGTCCTACATTCTAATCCTGAACCTATCTAGTGTTGAATAACGAACTCAAGGTTTCACTTCAAACAATTTTGATGTTACCTTCACAATGTCACCAGGAACATGGAGAACTCGGGAAACTTTTCCTGTGTACCGACTTGTTATTTCTATGGTTGCTTTATCACTCTGAACTTCACAAAGTGGTTGAAATTCTTCAACATGATCCCCCTGCCAAAACAAATTTATCAACACTATATTCTTCATTACATCTGTAAAATTAGGTGCCGAAGACAACCTGATGGACTGACTTAATAACATGGGTAAAATTTCATAAAAAAAAAAAAGGAAAAACCAGGAAGGTACACTAACTGGTTAATCAAGAACAAGTCTATTCATGTAAGGTCGGTATACATCAACATAGAAACACAAAAATTAGCCATCAAAGACTAAGCAGTGAATAGTTCCTCAAATAAACCATTTGGACCACAAAAAGTAGTATTTGTTGCTTGATTATTTGTCAGACCGGATTTAGGCTGGTTTACAGATCCCCATGAAATAGACATTATGTAATTACTACTTCAACCAGCCTGAGGTACTTCTCTTAGTGGTTAAAAAATAACCACAATTCTCTCCTCAGGGAAAAGGATAGCATTGATGCTTGCTTGGACAATCTAACCAAAACCAGCATGGAAACTAACTACAATTCCATCCTCAGGGAAAAGGATATCATCGATGCTTGCTTGGGCTATCTAACCAAAACCAGCATGGCAATTGGCTCATAATACACAAACACAGAGTATTTGCTTAGAAGAATACACAAGCACAAACAAAAAGAAAAGAGAAAGCTATGCAACCAAAATTTGGTATATAAAAGTGTTAAGAGAATTGGAAAAGACAGAGGAAAAACTGATTGTGCAAATATAATCCCTCTAAAAGCAAATCCAATTCAAATGAGGGAAAAAAAACATCCAAAGTGTGGAACAAAGAATACCCTTAACAAAACCAGCAAAGGTTTACTAATTCTACTAAACCATGAATAACAGGACCATTCCTTACCTCCTGCACAAACCATTGTAGAAGTTCACACTCAGCAATGCCTTCACCAGTTTGTGCTAAAGGTACATCAACTATTCCATCAACCGGAAGATCGACCAAAGCTTGAGTTGAAAAGCAATATTTCTTTAAACCATATTGAACCTTCAACAACAAAATGGGGGGCAAAAAAAAATAACTATAAACACAATAATATAGCATATTTTACAAATCTACTTGAAAAGCTCTTCAACGGAACTACACTAGCATGTGCACTCTTGGATAAGTAGTGCTATTGTTGCTAACATATTTCAGTATCATAAAAGAAGAAACAGTGCTAAAAAAATATAAGAATAAAGCTGCACATCACTTACCAAAACTTTTACCAATTTTTATTTACCAAATTGATGTAGGTGATTGGATTAGTGAGTCCTCCCGACTTTCCCTAATCATCTAACGGCTGTCATGACACATTATTTGGCATCCAAAAAAGCGATAAAAGTTTTGGTATGCACATCACTATAATTTTCTTAAACCAAATAGAACTTCTTAACTTTAAACTACCTTAACTTTGTACCATTTCCCTTTATGGGTTATTCATGAAAAAAGACTATGCTAACATAGAGAATGAAGGAATGTATAAAACAACAACCAACGTTCCATGGTCTCAAGACTTCCAAGTTGATGTTTTGTTCATTGATTTAAGATTTGCTGGCAAGAGCAATATGGTTACTCAACGCTTCATTTGGCAGCATCAAATTTGCGCATTATAGCTGACGTATAGGAGAACTAATTGAGGTTAGCTGTTAGCTTAATGACTATCCACCCCGCTGTTGGACCATAAGGTCGCAGGTTCAGACACTGTCTGAACAAATAAAAAAAAGAAATAGGAGAACTAATTCAAAGTCTCAGCTAATTTACCAACCTCAACCCATTTTTTTTGGATCAACGTCAACCCAATTGAGAGAAGTAACTTTGACTTTGTTACTATTGTTAACTTCCATCAGTGAGGAACCTTGTGGATTGAACAAATAATATGAACAATTAAGCTCATTGAGGATTGAACACACCGCAATAACATATAATGTTATCAGCTAATTGAGTTGGATTGATTTTGACCTCAACCAACAAAGAACTGGGCTTAATTGATTGATGCTAATAATAATACAACCGACCGATACTTACATTATTGGGATCATTAACCCATAAAAAGGACATCGATGCCTGTCTAAAGACGCAATCTTGAGACAAGAAGCCCAGGAACGGAAGCCTCTGGCCACCGACCACCGTAGACGGTGAGGAAGCTGCGGTGGTGTAAGAGCATAGCCACCACCGCCGGCAAGAGCTCCAACTCCATGGCTTCTTCTGATAAATTCGCCGGTACATCATTGTTCGACGGTGGCGATAGAAAACAGTGTATAAATATTTGAAGTTTGGACAACGTAGTACTCAACTTAGATTATCTTCTTTTTTGGTTAATGTATATCCGTACCTTTATTTTAGCCTATAGTATCATTAGGTGACTACGCGGCTCTCAAAGAAACTGATTAAATTATAATATTATTTATATTATAATAATATGATATTTTTACATGCAAAAAATTTAAATATAATATAAATTTGACTCTAGAATCGAATTCAACAATTACACGTATATAGTGTTAAAATATAGATTAAATATTATTTTTGTATATAAATATAAATATATATATATAAAACAAAAATTTTATGTAAATGTACTACTAATAAATAAGTATAAAAAAATTTCGAAGTCAAATATTATTAAAAAAAAAAAGCTTAAAAGAACCTAGAAGTCAAATAATTATTAAAAAAAATAAATGAAAGTAATAAAAAAATTAAAAGTTAAATATGGTTAATAAAAGAGTTCAAAAATATTTAGAAGTCAAATAAGTAGAAGAAATAAAAATAATATGTCGTTTTTCAAATTTGAAGTCAGAGTTTTCAAATTTGGGATCTACTTAGGCAATTTGAGGTTTAAAACAATAATACTAAGTGAGACCTTTTTTTTAATTATTAATTAAAAAAATTAAATTATCTTTAATTTTTTATGTGAGAGAGAGACAGAAGAAAAATGCACTAGTATTGCCAAGAAAGAGATTTCAACTTTTGTTTTTATTTTTTATTAGAGATAAAGAGTTTAATTTCAACATTTGTTTATGTTTTATATTTTTTTTTATCACTGAGAGAGAGATAATGTGTGAAGGTAAATATGAGGTGACTTTTGAGATAATTTATATTTTTTTAATTTTTAGGTTTTTAATGTTTTGGATTGGTTCATTGGCCCAAATTATTGTAATAAAAAAATAGATTGAACCTAATTTTTTGAGACCTTTTTTACGATTTAAAATTTAATGAATTTAATTTTTTTATAAATTAGTAATATGAAAAATTTGGAGGTCGGTCCTCCTATATGAAATTATTTAGATTTAAGTCCGCCATAAAATTTATTTTTTGTCAATTTTACCAGATTATCAATTCCCTTTAGAAGTGAAGCAAAACTAAAATTAAAAATTTTTAAATTTTAGGAATTTGACTAATATCGAAAAAAATTATCTATCATATATATTTATATCCATATATAGGTTAGAACTATATATATATAGTAACATTAAAAATAAAAATATAGTAACATTCAAATAAAAAAAAATTATCCTTTAAACACAAAAAATAATGTCATTCAAATATAAAAAAGTAGTAACATTCAATTTTAATATTTTTAAAACATAACAATAGTAACATGTTAAAAAAAATAGTAATATGTTTAACAAAAACAGTAACATATTCAACAACAAAAAATAGCAATATGAAATATTGAAAATAAAAATAGTAATATTCAAACTCATAACTAGAGGAAGAAGCCTAAAAAAAATAACACTGAAAAAATAATAACATTCTCAATAAAAAATAGTAACATTGTCACAAAAAAAGTAGTAACATAAAATATTGAAAAATTTTGGGGATTATTTATCAAAAAATAAAAATAAATTTGGGAATTAAACTAATAACACATTGAACAAGTTTTTTAACCTTTTTTTTTTTTTTCTAAAAACCAACGACATAGAAGTTCATGATTATCAAAACGCAGTAGAATAATATATGGTAGTTATTGATGATGTTCTAAACTCTACTAGTTTTGATGCTATGTAGAAAAAAATGATATATAAGGAGAAATATTTGTTTTACTGGAGTGATGATCTTCTTCTAACGAGGGAGAGAAAAAAAGAGAGAATATAAATTTGAATTTTAATTTAGGAGTGAATTAAGGGATAATACTTTTTAATTCAATAAATTAATTTAAAATTACTTTCAAGGTCCTTAAGATTTTTATAATTAAATAAAATAACAATGTTAAGAGTAAGGTGAAAAAGAAATTTATCACCAAATAAATTTTTTTGATGGACTAAATTGATTATAAGTCAATCCAGAAGAAGTCTGCCCCAATTTTCATTAATAATATACCTAAAACTATAGGCCTTCTAAACATTTAGGCCCTAAAAGCTCAGACTTTATATTTAACACTGTTGGGCCGTCCTGAATTGAACATTATGTTTGAAGCCCATGACGAAAAAGCCATTTTACTTATTCTATGAAATTGAGATTGAATTTTGAGTTTCGATCATTTGATTTGTGAATGATTGCATCTGTCTGAGACTTGTGTGACAACCGTGAGTTCAAATAACACGTAATTGAAACGATTCTATTTTAAAAATAAATTATGTAAATATGGATATTTCCGAAGTTTAACCTCTGTGAATGTTGGGGTATGTGTGTGCTGGGTCTTGGCACGTGAGTCCAGTAGCAACGGACTTGATTCCTTTTCAAGTAAGGCCCAACCCAGATGGAGTGTACAGGCCTGAGCTGGGTATAAAAAGGCCAGCCCAACACACCCTCTTTGGTTTTTCCTTATCAAGAAGAGCCAGAAAATGATTATGAGTGGTGTTTTTTAAGGCGATGGACACCATTCTTTATCATCTTGTGATTTTTTATAGTCAGAAGGAAAATGAATGGTCATGGTACAAGGATATTGGAAAGTATGCCACATGAATGATGGAATTTATCATACAACATGCGTGACAAAGTAACTTCGATTGAAAGACCCTTCTCTTGATGATTTCGGGATCTTTATTTTGAGTTTTACGAGAAACACTCTGGTTGATGCAAGTGATTTGCTGATAACCAACATTACAACGTTTCAGGTTTACATCATAATCGTCATTCCGTTAATACAGTTTTTGAGCTATCCAAAAGCCCGAAAAACATGTGCAACAGAGTAGTGTAGTAACTACTTTTCCCTTCTCATGATTGTGAACTCACTTGCAGCACTTCCTAATTTATAAAGCTAAATATGGGTTGTGTTAGTAAACCCTTTATTTCCATGTTCCAATGTTAAAAAGGAAAAAACTCACATTCCCACATGGGTGGAGAGAGAGAGAGAGAGAGAGAGAGAGAGAGAGAGAGAGAGAGAGAGCTCCAATTGGTTAGGACTTGGGAGCAATTTGAAAGGTGGTGACAGGTAGGATAATGTCAAATCACTGCTAACAAGTGACATCGAATCTGAAAAACTCATTATTCACATAGTAATATTTCCTCCTTTATTACTAATCATCCACAGAGCTACCAAATGTTTGCTAGATACATGGTCAGCTTAATTTGGTCTAATGACATGAATTTCCACACGTTCATTATCTCAAATGGTGAACAAAACCCTTCAACTTTTAACAACACATGCAATGTTGGGACCAACATCACCAAGATAACCCACTAGTCTTGTGTCAAAATAAGAGAACAACTATACCTCCTTAGAAGTTTTTGGAAGACACTCCTTCTCTTCAATTGGTTATGAAAAGACAGAAAAACATCATATTATTATTATTATTATTTGAATAACATAGAATCATTTCAATCACGTTTTCTTCAAGCTCGTAATCATATAGAAACTCCAAATATACATGCTTACCCCTCAAACATGTGCATCGGATAAACCATGACTCTAGTTCTAAGATAAATTGCTCCCATGTCTTCCTATCTAAACTAACTTGAAGGTTTTTTCATTTCATATTTGCTAGCTAACTAGTAGTAAACATGATTAGTCATGAATTCTTAAATGGTACTCTCTCAGTTCATCGAATTAGTTCTTGCAAGAAGGAGGTGATATGTGTTGGTGTCAAATCGGGCACTTGAAAAAACTACAAATGTGCATATATTTTGACCAAGTGAACCGTCTAGATTTGAATGCATGGAGTGGTTGGTCATTTTTAATAACTGAGAACCATTCTAACTATACGTATTGAAGACTCATGCTATGGTAAACTCATATGTGGAATGAATCTAGAAAGCACGAAATCAATCACGACATTTCAAAACATAAACTTATAAAAATCGAACAGAATTATTTTTTTTACCTGTGAGTTTAGAAATTATTTTTTTTGACCTTTCGAGCACTTGGGAAGATGCTTGAAAACAAGTTTTGTAGACTAGTTATAATTTGGAAACACAGTATGCATGCACCAAATGACATCATAGACACTTTGAAAATTGCTTCCGCGCCATTGAACTGTGTGGCATTGAAAGCTCTTCATGTCGTTATCTGTTTTTTTTTTCCCAAGTACTCTCATACTATGTTTGAATAGTAGAAGCCCACTAAAACAGTAAACAGATCTCTCTATCATACACGATGAGTGATTTATCATTAAGTGAAAGTGTAATGTAAAGGATTTTGATCGAAAAGAGATAGTATAACGGAACACAATACTCCTCCCACATGTGCCATGAGGATCCACATTTGATGCAATGATTCTTATAGAAAAAAACTTACAAATTTGGTTAAACATTAATCTTTTTTCCCAGATGTTGGTACTAATGTTAATTTACTTTTGTTGAATTGGAGAAGGAAACACGCCCAAATTCACATAACAAAGTAATTTAGCTTCATCATATCAGAGCTTAGAGACCCTAAGTTAAATGTGTAATTATGCACAAACAATCCATTGAATGGAAAAAAAAGAAAAACATAAACACAAACAAACACACACATACACACAGAATGGTCAATCTTTGATACTTTTGTTTTGACTTGGAGGATCTGCCTCCAGTATTGGCAATTCATTAGGTGCAGAGACCAAGTTGGCAAGTCATGTGGACAATCAAGTAGAATGAAATTTTTGATACATTGAAATTTTGTTTCGATTACTATTTTTGTTTCGATTTTTTTGACATATATTTAATAATTTAATTGAATGAGTATAAATGGGATATACAAACATGAGGTGAACTTAGTAGTTTAAAGTAAGATAATTCAATGAGGTGAAAAAAGAAATTTAAGGGGTGAGAATACTCCCACCCAACACAGTACGCACCAAATGACATCATAGACACTT